TTCTCAAGTGCAGTGACTCCAAGACTGAGTTGTGAATCAACTGGATTCTCAAGAGCAGTGACTCCAAGACTGAGTTGTGAATCAACTGGATTCTCAAGAGCAATGACTCCAAGACTGAGTTGTGAATCAACTGGGTTCACAAGAGCAGTGACTCCAAGACTGGGTTGTGAATCAACTGGGTTCTCAAGAGCAGTGACTCCAAGACTGAGTTGTGAATCAACTGGGTTGTCAAGAGCAGTGACTCCAAGACTGAGTTGTGAATCAACTGGTTCTCAAGTGCAGTGACTCCAAGACTGAATTGTGAATCAACTGGGTTCTCAAGTGTGGTGACTCCAAGACTGAGTTGTGAATCAACTGGGTTGTCAAGAGCAGTGACTCCAAGACTGAGTTGTGAATCAACTGGGTTCTCAAGTGTAGTGACTCCAAGACTGAGTTGTGAATCAACTGGGTTGTCAAGAGCAGTGACTCCAAGACTGAGTTGTGAATCAACTGGGTTCTCAAGAGCAGTGACTCCAAGACTGAGTTGTGAATCAACTGGATTCTCAAGAGCAGTGACTCCAAGACTGAGTTGTGAATCAACTGGGTTCTCAAGAGCAGTGACTCCAAGACTGAGTTGTGAATCAACTGGGTACTCAAGTGCAGTGATGTTGATGGTCTCTGTCCAGTCATCATTGACTGACAAAAATACCTTCAGAGTCACATAGAGACCCATAGCCTCAACCCGTTCACCAACGACTAACACACACACAATAGACACTTTAAATGTGGGTCTGCGCTTTGAGTTCTGAGAACTACAAGCTCATAGAATAACAAATATGGAATTGACTGACATGCAATGGACAGTGCTCTGCCCCCTACTCGTGTGGACTCAGAGGCAGTTTTGTGATATTCACTTCCACGCGCAAATGACTTTCATAGCGAGTTCACCTGTTTTGTGAAAGTCTGTTTTTTTTATTTTACTATTTTTAATCCACCAGGTAAGGCCCACTGAGCCATTTAGCTCTTTTTCATAAGCGACCCGGCCACAAATGATAGCTCAACGTGGACATTTATAGTAACCAAATTCTCTAAACGCGTGACGTTGAGTCTAAACGTGGAGGGAAAAAAACGGAGGACCCGGAGAAAAATCCACGCGACCACGGGGAGAGAGACACACGCAAACTCAAAATATACAGCAGGCATCAAACTTGATTTTAAGCTTTCGTGACTGCAGGAATTACTCTTTGGTTCTGTCGGTGAAGTCACGTAGAAATAAATTTAATTAAATAATAGAATACTACGTTTCGATTGCAACACAAGCAATCGTCATCAGGTAGAAAACAAACCTAGTGAATTTCTAAATTTGAGAGAGAGACAAAACACAGACACGGAGACACACACAGACAGACACACAAGCAGAGAGAGACAACACAGAGAGACACACACACAACATAGACACACCTCTGTGTGTCTATGTTGTGTGTGTCATAGACACACCTCTGTGTGTCTATGTTGTGTCTGTCTGTGTGTGTCTCCGTGTCTGTGTTTTGTCTCTCTCTCAAATTTAGAAGTTCACTAGGTCTGTTTTCTACCTAATGACGATTGCTTGTGTTGCAATCGAAACCTCCCATTCTATTATTCAATTTATGTTGTTTCTACGTGACTTTACCGAAAGAACCAAAGAGTATACGGGCATCGTCAGGGTCAGGATCGAGCCCACGACCTCCTGCATACCAGGCGAGGTAGTTGACATCTCATAGCCACCGTGGTGCCCAGTCTCATGACAAGACGCCGATAGCACAATCCGGATAAGACCGGGCAAAATTACAAAGCCCACCCCCCCCCCCAAGAAACACCACACACACCCTTCACTGACTACAAGACACCTTCACTGTGGTGTAACTTTAAAAACAATTCTAACGCTCCACAAATTCGCCGGTTCAACTCTACATCCCAGCGCGGTAGTTGAATGACCAATGGGACAAGTTGCTTCAATCACCCATCACCCCCCTCCACTGCTTCTCACCACAGGCAGTCAGTCGATCGCAAGGTTCGTTCGTGGTGGGATAAAGTGTGTGCATTCTCACCTCTTTCGACACTTCTGGCTTAGAAAGGAAGAGTAGGCCAAATACACCAATCTGAAGGTTCTCACCCGTGCAGCTCCATCTTAGTAGAGATGCCTTTCTGCCAGAAGTGGTATGAGCAAGCAATTGCAGGGCTGCACCTTTAACTTTACTATATATACAGTATACAGAGGGGGGTGGTTTATTAAAAGGGTCCACATGCTGTGGTGATTAGGGGAAATAAAATATGGGCTGTAACCTAAAAAATACTTTTGTTGCCAATTTCAACATGGGCTGTTTGTCTCCTGTGATTAGGGATCAAGCCCTGGTTTCGCTCAACTTGCGTTTGACCCTTCCTTGGCTTTGCTAAAATAAGCCGGGGGAATGAAGCTGATGCACACAGAGAGTTGTGACCCAGTGAATACAATCGTAATAATACCCGCTGCTGCCGCCGCTGCTGCTACTGTTGTGTTTTGCTGGAGGGGGAAGGAAAGAGTGGATATGTCTCCTCGGCTGCCTGCATACATCGAGATAGAAATGCCGAAATATTTCCTTCCGTTTCAACAAGAAAAACAATTTAGTGATTAATTCAATTCAACTTCACATTACTGTGTCTATATGTGTGTGTGTGTGTTGGGGTGCTACCGCTCATGTGGTACAGGAGGACGTGGACATGAGTGGACTTACCGATGACTGGTACCAGCGGTGTCAAGATCGGCCTCAGTGGGGGAGGCTCGTGAAGGAAGCTACTGGGCAGCTGGAGGCAGTCGCCCTCCAACAACAACGGAGGGCAGAGGAGCGACGCTCACAACAACGAGCGGAGCGCCGGGTGGCTAAGGCACAGCAAGTTGGCACAGTAGGGGGCACAGGTGGTGCATCAGCCAGTCGTCTCAGTCAGTCGACCCGTGGCACCTGAGTCTGCCCCGTGACCTCCTGCCAGCGGGCTTTCGACATTTCACGTGGCCTCAAGGTACACCTAGCCTGGCACAAGCGTCGTGGTGACGTCACCGCCACTTAGTGGCGAATGGCGGTTGTTGTTTTTGCTACCGCTGTGCAATGGTTGGCACTCTGGACCTGCAGAGATCGCTGGTTCGACCTCCCGGCGCAGCAGTGAAAACAATGGCCAGGAATCTTAATCCCCTCCCCCAGAACCGTGTACAGAAAAGGGCACCGTACTCATCAGCCTTTGTGGATGATTGTAAACAAAACATAACTCATCAGTGTGATCCTCTTGTCTTCTTAGGTTACCATCAAATGAATGTGAGCAAACGTGACCGCTTCCGTCCACCCAGCGGCATTAATGGATACACCAGTTATTCCATCGGTGGGTCGCTTGTTTGGTGGTGGTGGGGTAAAGTGTGGGTACCTCTTTCAAAAACATTTTTACCAGCGTAGATGATTACGCTAAATACCCTGCAAAGAGGATCTCTCACACCAGTGGTTATCAACCGGGGGCATGCGGACTCCTGGGGGCACGTGGGAATGTCCCAGGGGGTACGTGAGGGGGGAGCCTTGGCGTAACGAGCTCAGAGTCATAATCATTTAGAGTGGAGGAATCCGATGCTCTAGAAAGCTCTTTTGCACAGGTGTGTGGGCGGGTCAGTTAGCGCACTGCACAAATGAACCCGGCCACGTGTAACGTCGGTGGCAAGCGATGTCTTGGTAGACCCCTGCCTCAACACTTCTCCCTATTCCACTCACACCGACCAACGGGGTGAAGTATGGTCAAAATTCCCCACGTGCTGAAAGTTACTTCGAGAAATTGTAGATATTTTATCGCGTGCGCTATCCCATGCGCAGGATACACTTAAACTACAATTTGCACAATAAAAAAAATATCAACCACATCTATGAACTATAGTTAAAAATGAAATGTGCGTTTCATTTTTAACCACTGCACTTATAAATATGTAAACTTGCTGCAGCATATCCAGGGTGTCTTCTCGATAAAAAAAAAACATTCTGGAAAGCTGTTGGGCTAGCTTGGAGTATAGATTATCGGCGTAAGGCACTACCACTAGAGTATATATGATGTGATACATATTCCTAAACAGTGGTCATTGTGCCCTATATTTCTATAAACGGGTTCAGGGTAGTTTAAAATAAGGCGAAACGTATGGATGTGGGGTGCCAACATGATTCCCAGAATAGCAAACATTAAACACTGAGTCATCAATTAGCCGAATGATGGTGGCTACGCACATGGCCTAACACATTCCTGCGGAGGGAGCTGGTAGGAACGTTGGGTTGCTCGGTCAATGGCCAGGGTCAACGGCGGCGTGGTGTATTCCGCAAATATGCCCGACTGTGAGGGCGGGCACAAGCCGGCGTGAGTAGGTTAAACGTTGAGTTTTATAAGGGCACCACGGGGTGACCAGCCCCTCCCCTCCCACCCTCCACCCAGCCCCACCCTCCCTACCCAGGAGCAAGGGGGGAGAGGGGGGGGTGGGGGTGTGGGGTCGGGGGAGGGGAGGCGCTGCGTGGAGTAGTAGCGCCTCCCCTACCCCACACCCCACCCCTCCCTCTCCCCCCTTGCTCCTCCCCCTTGCTTGCCACCAACCCTAAGATATACGCCCACCACCTTGATTGCCTGTATAACCTCTTACCACGGCAACTCTCACTCCCACTTCAGCAAAAAAAATTATTGCTTCCCACCTAATGATGATGATTGCTTGTGTTGCAATCGCAAACGTCGTGATTTAATTTATTTTATACCTACGTGACTTTACCGAAAGACCCAAAGAGTATTTCTTGACTGCTGTTACGATTCAACTTTCAGTTTCACTCAACCCACGACAACACTGACGCGCTTACCCAACCACGTGCTTACAAATCCCGGCCCCTTGCGCACGTGGCCATGCCCCAAGCTGAACCCTCCAATCACAATCGGCGTTTTATCCCGACAGCGCGCCTCCCATTGGCTGAGTCTCCCCGTAGTGGGCGTATATGTTAAGGTTGGTGGCGAGTCGAGCATGCATCGTTTAAATCAAATGGCGATCGCCATAGCGTGAAGCGTACGTTACGGTGCATTTCTGGATGGCTACGCACCATTTGGGCCTGTGCTTTTTATCCACATGTGGACGTGGGAGTAGTGGTTGTTTGCTGTCTTCGTGTTTATTGCGTTAAAGTTTATTATTTTTAAAGGTGGAAACTTGTCGAACACGGGGGGAGATGATGGAGGACGACTTTGTATTAATGCCGCAGCTGTTGCCTGTGGAGGAGAGCGGAGGAGGGGAGGAGGCGGCGAGCGGACCGCCAGTAACACCGGCAGAGTATCTGAATCGGGTCCGGTAGGGACATCAACAACATCAACACCATCATCGTCAACACCATCGTCAACACCATCATCACCATCATTAACAACATCATCATCACCATCATCAACATCATTAACATCACCATCAACACCATCATCAACACCATCAACATCATTAACATCATCAACATCATTAACATCATCATCAGCATCATCACCATCATCAACATCATCAACACCATAATCACCATCAACACCATCATCACCATCATCAACATCATTAACATCATCATCACCATCAACACCATCATCACCATCATCAACATCATTAACATCATCACCATTAACATCATCATCGACATCACCATTAACATCATCACCAACATCATCGTCACTATTGACATCATGATCATCAACTTCATCGACATCACCATTAACAGCATCATCCCAAGCACTACAATCCCATGGTATTCCCAGGATGTCTACCTTCCCAAACACTACAATCCCATGGTATTCCCAGGAAGTTTTCTATACCAAGCACTACAATCCCATGGTATTCCCAGGATGTCTTCCATCCCAAGCACTACAACCCCCATGGTATTCTCAGGAAGTCTTCCATCCCAAGCACTACAATCCCATGGTATTCCCAGGAAGTCTACCTTCCCAAGAACTACAATCCCATGGTATTCCCAGGAAGTTTTCCATACCAAGCACTACAACCCCCATGGTATTCTCAGGAAGTCTTCCATCCCAAGCATTACAATCCCATGGTATTCCCAGGAAGTCTACCTTCCCAAGAATTACAATCCCATGGTATTCCCAGGAAGTTTTCGATACCAAGCACTACAACCCCCATGGTATTCTCAGGAAGTCTGTCATCCCAAGCATTACAATCCCATGGTATTCCCAGGAAGTCTACCTTCCCAAGAACTACAATCCCATGGTATTCCCAGGAAGTTTTCCATCCCAAGAACTACAATCCCATGGTATTCCCAGGAAGTTTTCTATACCAAGCACTACAACCCCCATGGTATTCTCAGGAAGTCTGTCATCCCAAGCATTACAATCCCATGGTATTCCCAGGAAGTTTTCTATACCAACCATTACAATCCCATGGTATTCTCAGGAAGTCTGTCATTCCAACCATTACAATCCCATGGTATTCCCAGGAAGTCTGTCATCCCAAGCACTACAACCCCCATGGTATTCTCAGGAAGTCTTCCATCCCAAGCACTACAATCCCATGGTATTCTCAGGAAGTCTTCCATTCCAAGCATTACAATCCCATGGTGTTCCCAGGAAGTCTGTCATCCCAAGCACTACAACCACGCTCACCCTTGCTGTTAATTGCAAAGCAGCGTTAATACGAAGGTGTATTTAAAAAAAACTAAACACTTTTTATTTTACCAGGTAAGGCCCACTGAGCTTATGCTGCTCTTTTTCATTTTCAGAAGCGACCTGGCCACAAATGATAGCTCAACGAAGTGGCTTATCATGATGACATTTATACCGGTCAAATACTCTAAACGCGTGATGTTAATTCTAATGTGGAGGGGAAAACCGGAGGATCCGGAGGAAAAATTTACGCGACCACGTTGGAAAGAGAGAAATTCAAACTCCAAATACCACAGCAGGCATCAGGGTCGGGATCAAACCCACGACTTTCTGTATACCAGGCGAGGGAGTTAACATCTCTCCACCGCGGCACCCCACGTCAGATCCATCTCGCCCGTCACCGTTATTTCTGAACGTGCCTTGTCTGCTCAGGCTTGAAGCTGCCAGATGCCCCGAAGTTGCCGTGGCCAACATTGACCCAGAAAAACTCAAGCGGAAGCAACCGGTGAAAGTATCGAATGTGAGTCGTACATTTGTCTTTCTATCCATCCAGGAGAAGGTCCACGCTGAGTTGTCGGCCTCTATTTTTACACGCTTTCATTTCACTCGCTCTGTATGTTCTTGTTGTTGTATCCTCAAATCTTGTAACTCAATTTTAACCCACTTCCCCAATGTGGTATCGACAGAAAACTTGGTATACTTATGTCATACTGTAGACAATACTATATTCTATCATAAAAAATAAAAAAATATATATTTTTAAACATTCTTTTTTATATGTTATGTTTCGGCTTGGGTCTAATTGCCCACGCTCAACTCACGTTGGCTGTAATTGCCCACGGCCCCTTACGTTGTGGCAAGCTTTGGGGCCACTTTCTGGAGTCGTGGAGTTCTTCCATTACTAGTACATTTCATAAACGCGTGTCTTTTGAAAAAGTTTTTTTTTTAATATTACTTATTTCAGGGAGTCTTGCATTGTGTCATGAATTTTTTTTTTGTAAAAATCATCTTGTACGTATCCAATTCTTTTTTTTAACCAGGCACTGTACCCATCATCATCAATATCATCAGCAGCCATGATTTATCCGCTGCTGGATTAAGGCTGCCCTCAAGCTGTCACCATGCCCGACGGTCACATGATGCGACCAAACTCGTGGAGCTCCTGCATGCGAGCTGACCTGGCCCGTCCGCGTGTTCCCTCTCTTCACCCTCGCTCCATCGTTAGTCTTGACCCCTGGCTATCAGCAGCCCCTATTGCAGACGTGCCCCCCCCCCCCCCCCCCCCGTGCAAGCCTCTCACTCAACTTTTTACCCTACAGTCAATATATCGGCAATCGAATTGCGCACTTTCAGTTGGCGGTCGGTCGACGTCCAAAGTGGACTGCGGCCCTCCAGGGAATGGCAGCGCCCTCCCCATGGTCACCCCCCCCCCGCCCCAACCCGCTGCGATCCGTGGATCAAACAAAGTCACGCGAGACGCCAGTGTATGGCAGCGAGAGCAGTTTCGGCGAATGCTGTCGCAAGAGATCACACGTTTGGCGCAACGGTGACGATTGAGTGACTGTGGGTTCTCTTAACCTGCATTTGTGAAACATTTCTTTTGAGCGGGCTATAAATGTGAACCGGTGTTCGAAATTCCGATTGTCATCAGCAGTGCAGCTGGCTCGGTAAAACCTGCTGGATTTTTTCCTGACGTTATTGGAGGGAGAAGTCCACAGACACCATGGGGACCCCGTTGAGCCTGGAGCAACGCGGCGCCGCGTTCGATTGGCAGCACTCTGCTGATGATATTCATGAATTTAGGTTTTAGTTTTGCTGCTGTACATTTTCAAATTATAAGCCGCTTTGTTGAGACATCGTTTTGTGGCCAGGTCGCGTCTGACAAATAAGTGAGCAGCTCCAGTGGACTTTACCTGGTGAGTTAAAACATTATTTAGTTTTATTTGTATATATATTTTTTTGCGATTTTATTGTACCTTTCCTGTACTTTGCACTCCTATCGTGTTTTTCTAGTGTTTGTTTTTTAACGTTCTGACACCATGCCCCTACAGGGCATCTGTGAAAATAGCTTCATAGCTCATCGGATTCCCCAAGTATTAATACATGTTCTGATTCTGATTCATTCAGAAAATGAAAACCGGTTCAGAGTTTTGCCTGGTTCCATAAATGGTCCTGGAAAACATTGGCGGTACGTTCGATCTCTTTTTCCACTGCCACAACTGAGCCGCGCCAAGCCGGCCCGGCACGGCTCAAGATGTTACGTGTTTTTCCACTGACATCACACGCACGTGCGTTTCGAGTCAGAACGCATGTGGGGAAGCGGTAGTGCCGTGGTTAGCGCGCTGCACTACGAACCTGGCAACCCGAGTTCAATTCCCGCTCACGGCCAACACCAATGATGATTATCTGTACTGGTCCTGGGCCTCCCCCAGGTCGACTCGGCCTCAAATCAATACCTAGTGCGGTGTGTAAACATTGCCAATCGGCAGCCCGGCATGGTGTTGGCCACCCACCCCCTCGGCCTTCATAGGTGCTCTCTAAACAGCACTTGCCCCTACAGTCTGTTCAGGCTGTACTGGAGGATCTTTGTTTTTGACGCGGTGTCTTCACCCTGTGTACCCACCGACGTGGCACGCAATGAACGTCTCGTCAGCCCCGCCCCTGGCCCTGCTTGGCCCCAGAGACAGATTCAGATGTGTTTTGCAGCCAGCGTATAAACGGTTTTTGTTCCGGTCGGCTCGAAAAACAGCCAGTGGAGTTCCATAATAACGGGGGTTTTTTTGGGTTAGATCTCGTAGTAAGGCTTGTCTTGTGCCAGTTAGTTACTACTTCAGCACACCGGTGTGTTGGCAGGTGAACCCAGAACATTTTCAATTCGAGTCCTGTGACATGTCGCTGGTTATTACAACAACAACAACAACCAGCTTTGTCAGGCGATAGCCAGAAGAGTGATGAAGTCTTCTTCCTGTTTCCGGTCTCAAATAGAGGAGCAAAGGTGACGCCATCACTGTGAACCTATCAGCTGCGAAGACTGGAGGGGGGGTTAATGTAGTCCTATAAGTTACAACGGATCATGTTAGCCTGAGAATATGCAGTACCTGATTATTGGTTAATCAACATACCTAGCGTATGTACATTATGTAGATCTGAGAATATGCAGCCAATGGAGAAAAAAAAAACGCCCAGACCGTGAGAGCCCTACGCTGGCTCGGCTGTGCGGGTGGAAGAGGCCGGTATTGGTGAAGGTGGTATCGCGATGGTCGTGTCTGGTAGGATGGGGATGGTTCAGTTTTATTTGTATGTCTTTGGGTGATTTGTTTGCCTTTCCTATACTTTCCACTCTTAACGTGTTCTTACCCGCTCCTACTGAACGTCTGTGAAAAAGAGCTTCATAGCTCATCGGATTCCCCCGGTCTAAATCAATATTATTCTGATTCTCTCGTTCCAGCCGTGCGGTTGTCTGCCAGCTCCACGCGGCTTCGCCCCCAGCGTCGAGTGGCAGATGCAGCAGCAGGCCGCCTTCTCCGCCATGCGCCAGGTGAAGCCGAGGGTCGGCCGGTGAAGCCGAGGGTCGGCCGGTGAAGCCGAGGGACTGCCGGTGAAGCCGTCGATCGATTCGGCGCGGTTCGCGAAGTGGGTTAGCGGCAGGGGCTAACTGGGCCGACCCCGGCACCAAAGCAGTCTTGGTTACCGATAAGCCGGACGGTGACGAGATGTTGACCACCTCGCCTGGTTTGTAGGAGGACATGGGTTCGATCCCGATACCTGTGTATATGGAGTTTGCATGTCTCTCTCCCCGTGGTTGCGTAGAATTTTCTCCGGGTCCTCCGGTTTTACTCTGAACGCACATTTAGAATCAATGTGCGTTCAAAGTATTTGGCTGCTATAAGTTTCCACGCGATAAATCACTTTGTTGAGCGATCACTTGTGGCCCGTCACAGAGCTATACAGCCAAAATAGGCTTTACCTGGTAAAATACTTTTTTAAAATTTTAGCCGGGCAGTGGTGACTACCGCTGCATGCGGCCTGTGGCCCGGCACCGTGGAGGCAGCAAGGGTTGGTGAATCGCACGAGCATAGTAATATTCCCCGTGGGCGTCGAAGAGGTGCCGTACCCTGATAATATTTAAATGGGCTCAAGAGTGATCTCCTGTTCGAATGAGCACCAATGCTTCAATGTTCATCTCCTCATCTCCTCCAGCTGCAAGAGCCAATGGTGGGGGGAGGGTTGAGGGAGGGATATTGGGCTGAGTCGACCATCAACCGGGTTTTAAACTCGCGGCCTTCCGACTGTGAGCCGCCCGCTCCACAGCTGAGCAGCCCAAACGGCGGCATCAGTGAGCCCCCGGTCAAACGTGCAACGTGGGCTCAGCGTGGGCTCAACGTTGGCCCAACGTGGGCTCAACGTTGGCCCAACGTTGGCCCAACGTGAGCTCAACGTGGGCTCAACGTTGGCCCAACGTTGGCCCAACGTGGGCTCAACGTGGGCTCAACGTTGGCCCAACGTGGGCTCAACGTTGGCCCAGCGTGGGCTCAACGTGGGCCCAGCGCTCCCTATTCACCGGACGACTGCATAATACCCCGTGTTTTACGTTTCAGAAAATATCAAGGAACAAAGCAAGACGGATACTCCTAAAGCTACACAGCGACATAAAGATGGTACGCCCACTGCGCCCATGGGATGGAGCACACGTGCACAGTTGAAATGCTTAAAAGTTATTATTTTTAAAATGCTTTTGTTTAAAATCCCCCGACAGTGGGGACCGTCTGGGGTGAGGTCGTCCAGGCTCTCGCCACCATGGAGCGTTAGAATGTTTTTTTAAATTACACCACAGTAAAAGGTGTCTTGTGGTCAGTGCAGGGTGTGTGTGGTGTTTCTTGGGGGCTTTGTTATTTTGCCCCAGTCTTATCCGGATTGTGCTATCGGCGTCTTGTCATGAGACTGGGCACCACGGTGGCTAGGAGATGTCAACTACCTCGCCCGGTATGCAGGAGGTCGTGGGCTCGATCCCGACCCTGACGCCTGCTGCTGCTGTATATTTGGAGTTTGCGTGTCTCTCTCACCCCATGGTTGAATGGAGTTGGACCGGTTTCGACGCACTTGACCCCCATCAGCAGTGTGTGGTCCATTCGGCACAGTAACATTGAACAGATCTAGTGTCTACAATCTCAATATAGGTAGTCCATAGTACTCATAATCTAAGTCATTATTTAGACTGTAGGAATCCGATGAACAACTAAGATGTTTTTCACAGATGCCCACTAGGGGACGGCTCGATAAGCTACGGGTGAGCAAGTTCGTACTATTACAGTAAAAACCTTGGATTGCGAGCATAATTCGTTCCGGAAACGTGTTTGTAATCCAAAGCACTCGTATATCAAAGTTAATTTCCCCATAAGAAATAATGGAAACTCAGATGATTCGTTCCACAACCCAAAAATATTCATAGAAAAATTATTAATACAAAATAGCTTTTTATATTTTGATTATTTAAGTTTAATATAAAGTAATCAAATGTATTAATTCAATTTAATCGTGGCTGGTGTGAGGGAGACGAGAGAGAGGAGAGGAGGAGGGGTCATTGGTCACAACACTATAGTACTGTAGTAAACAGTATACACGTGGTCACAACACTATAGTACTGTAGTAAACAGTATACACGTGGTCACAACACTATAGTAAACAGTATACACGTGGTCACAACACTATGCTGTAGTAAACAGTATACACGTGGTCACAACACTATAGTAAATAGTATACACGTGGTCACAACACTACTGTAGTAAACACTATACACGTGGTCACAACACTATAGTACTGTAGTAAACAGTATACACGTGGTCACAACACTATAGTAAACAGTATACACGTGGTCACAACACTATGCTGTAGTAAACAGTATACACGTGGTCACAACACTATAGTAAATAGTATACACGTGGTCACAACACTACTGTAGTAAACACTATACACGTGGTCACAACACTATACTGTAGTAAACAGTATACACGTGGTCACAACACTATACTGTAGTAAACAGTATACACGTGATCACAACACTACTGTAGTAAACACTATACACGTGGTCACAACACTAGTGTAGTAAACAGTATACACATCACAACACTATACTGTAGTAAACAGTATACACGTGGTCACAACACTGTAGTAAACAGGATACACGTGGTCACAACACTGCAGTAAACAGTATACGCTTGCACGGATGTTGACTATACGAGTGAGGCATGCCGACTGAGACCGAGCAAGGGAGACGATTACCCACAATCCTGCAGCGAGAGAGATAGAGAAGAACCATCGGCTCAGTTGTGATCACGTGACGCTCGGCAGACAAAGCTGTATACTGTACGTACTGCTCGTATTGCAAGACCTCGCTCGTTTATCAAGTTAAAATTTACTTGAAAAATTTGCTCGCCTTGCAAAACACTCGCAGACCACGTTACTCGCAATCCAAGGTTTCACTGTATAGGACTTCCTCCAGCACCGATACTTCAGCGCGCGTCTCTTCTGCGCGTTCCTGCAATGTAACGACGCAGCCAGAAGCGGAGGATGAGGAGGGGTGGAAGCGGTTCTGCTTGGGGGAGCGGCGGTACGGCAGCAGAGCGCAATCCGAACCCCCCCCCGCCGCCGCCGCCGGCGTCCACGACGACCCCGCAGACGGCGAAGAGCTGGACCTCGACTTCCTGAAGGTGAGCGCCGCGCTCGCGGCGAGGTGTTATCTCCCTCGCCTGGTGCGCAGGAGGTCGTGGGATCGATCCCTGACCCTGACGATGCCCGTTGTGTATTTGGAGTCCGCGTGTTCTCGCTCTCCCCCGTGCTGGTCGCGTGGATGGTTCTGCGGGTTCCCCGGGTTTTGCTCTCCACCGCATTTTGAATCAACGCGCGTTTTGATTATTTGGCTGCTGAAAAAGAGCTAATAGCTCGGTTGGCTTTACATGGTTAAAAAACGCTTTAGCTTGGAGCTGCTGCACGCACCATTTCCCCATATTTTTATGCTTTACCGCGACTCTGGTTAAAAGCGTTGACATCGCTTTAGCTGTGTCTGTCCGCCTGTAACCGGGGCAGGAGCGGAGGTGGGTGGGTGTCAAAGTAACACTCGGAACGACGATCCCAATATCAACTAAACTTAGTAGGACGTGAAGTTGCTATTAAGCCCCTTTCCCACGTCATTCGTTTTTCTTCCAATTCCGTTCCGATGACGTACGTGAACACGAAATACAAAATAAAATAACTTTATAGGTACCGAGGCTCCCACAAGGCCATGCGGGAGGGCGCGTGGCACAGATTTGCGCCAGCTATCGTAGAGTGCGGTCGTGCCACTACGGTTCTCCACGGTGAGTGCAATGTCTTTATAAACAACGGCGCTACGTCTCTCTAAATAAAATGAACGGTGAACCGCTCGCTCGTTCCGAGATTCGTCGGTGAACGGGGATGCCCACACCCTGCAACTTGCAGACGTGTCGGAACGGGAAAGGGGTTGAGGGACTCCTCGCCCGAGGGAAAACGAGCCGCATCCATCGAAGGGTCGTTGCCCAAAACTTGGTGACACAAAACAGTGCTCAAAAGTGTTCACCGTGTCGGGCAAGGCGACGCCGTCGCGCGCCAGGCACCCTGCTTGCCCTGCCGATGACGCCGTTGCGTGCGACGTCGCCTCGTTAGGTTTCGATCGCAGACTTTTAAACGCTTGGCGAGAGCACGCCGGGAAGGCTGTTGCGGGATCACCGCGGAAGCGTTGATTCTCGTCCCTGTTGCGTTTCTGTTGAACGCGCCGTTCACGACGGCATGCTGCATCGCGCGGACCCAGCGGTGGCTTCTCCCGAGCCGCATGATGCGGCTCTTTCAGGGCGTCGCGGTGGCTAGGAGATGTTAACTACCTCGCCTGGCATACAAGAAGGTCGTGGGTTCAATCCTTGACCCTGACGCCTGCTGCTGTATATTTGGAGTTTGCGTGTCTCTCTCCCTAACCCGTGGTCGTGCGGATTTTTCTCCGGGTCCTCCGGTTTTTCACTGCACATTTAGAATCAACGTCACCACGCGTTTAGAGAATTTGGCTGCTATTAATGTCCACGTGATAGGTCACTCGTGGAGCTATCATTTGTGATGGCCAGGTCGCTTCTGAAAAAGAGCTACATAGCTCAGCGGGCCTTACCTGATAAAATACAAAAATAGTAATGGTTTAGTTTAATCCGTCTCATGCGGCTCTATCGAAGGTGCATAACTTAAGGTGTACTATCCTGGTAGCAAAGAATAATGAATCTCCCCTGTGCTATGCCGAAAACTGTCTCTATATATACTTATGTATATACTTGACTTTTTGAAGAACTCACGGTGTACTTTTTGGCTCTCAGTCTGCTACAGGTTGGCCACCCCTGAAGTGGCCGATGCGGCCTCCTCTTGCCCCCATGGACAGACGTTAATAATATCGCACAGTGCGAACGCGGCCACCGGCCCCAAAACGGCTGAGCGCTGAGTAACGCCACCGCCCGCTCCGAGCATTCGCCAGGCAGCGGTTGAGATATTCACCAAGTGACTGCTCACGAGAAGCCATCCATGTGCTCACTCGCCAGCCTCGCCTAAACCAGAGCTGCCCTGTCCGATTACTTGGGTAGACATCGGTTACTTGGGTATTAATCTGTGACTTGGGTAGAAATTGGTTACATGGGTATTAATCTGTGACTTGGGTAGACATCGGTTACTTGGGTATTAATCTGTGACTTGGGTAGAAATTGGTTACTTGGGTATTCATCTGTGACTTGGGTAGAAATTGGTTACTTGGGTATTAATTTGTGACTTGGGTAGAAATCTGTGACTTGGGTAGAAATTGGTTACTTGGGTATTAATCTGTCACTTGGGTAGAAATCGGTTACTTCGGTATTAATTTGTGACTTGGGTATTAATCTGTGACTTGGGTAGAAATTGGTTACTTGGGTATTCATCTGTTCCCTAGGTGGTAATCGGTTACTTTGGTAATCATTTACTCTCCTGATTACTGATTATAAAATCGAGTTGTCGACTTTACCGAAAGAACCAAAGAGTATAACTCTAACGTAGTTGGGGAAAAAAGTTTGACCTCTGTTCTCACGTGTGCCGCTGGACGGGCGGTAACGGGTCAGGCTCGGTGATGTCATCCAAAAAATCCTCCGCCGCCGTCACGCTGGGAGGCTCTCGTCGGGGGTTTCCCGCCTTCGGTAGGCAGGATGGTGGGGGGGGGGGACTCCTAATTGTAAAGAGGGGTCCAAGTAATCGAGCAGAAGCCGATTTACAGTTTTAGTTTGAATAACCCAACTTGACTAATCGATCCCGGCTCTGATAGAAACGTTGGCGGTCAGCATCCCGCCGTGCAAGAGAGCCGCTGCGTAGCGTAATACCGCGATGGTAACGCGTTGCCCTCCCCATCTCTCGTCCATGTTCTGAACAGATCGGCACCCCTCCGCTGCTCAGCGTGGTTGGCAACTTGGGTCAAGTAAGTCTTTGCGACACCCCGACGTTTTTTTGTTGTTGTTGTCGGGAGGCTTAAGAAGAACTATTTTCCGTAATACAAATGTTTTTTTTTCGGGTTAGATCGCGTAAATATGAATTTGTCGTTAAACCCGCCACCACCCGGCACGGCCAAATTAGTGTGGGTTGTCACGTAAACGGAACGTGCCAGTGTGTTGGAGAGCAAATCCACGACATTTACGATCCCAGGATGACGCTTCGCCAGTAATTAGAACCGGCATCATCAGGCGGTGATCGCGAAGGCCTACGTGTTAAAAATAACTCTTTTCTTTCTGTCTTGATAAAAAGCGCAAACGCAAAACTATTTGTTTTCTGCATCCGTTATTATCATCATCATCGTCATCATTGTCATCAGCAGCCATGATCTACCTCCACTGCTGGATGGAGGCCCTCCCCTGTGTCGTCGCCATCTCTCGCGGCCTTTCTGATCCCATCGCTCCGCTGTGGACGCGTTCGCTACCTTTGGCCCGCCGCTCCATCGTTAGTCTCAACCACCGGCCATCGCGCCTCCATCCACGCGTGTCCCACCCAAGCCCCCTTTACATGTAACCCGCGTGTTGGTATATTTCACGTTATTAATGTGCATCAGATATGCGCTAGAGATGAGTTTCAGATTTAAAATGTTTGGCTTTTTTTTATTCTGAAGGACGCTTTCTCGTCGTTTTTCGGATAATTTTTGTCACTTCACAATTGAACTTGCCGTCTTGCCGAGAGTAGTAACATAACCCTCCCTGTACCATTTCGATTTAAAGCTTTCGTGACTGCAAGGATTCATCTTCTTTGGTTCTTTCGGTAAAGTCACGTAGAATGAGAATAAAATAATAAATTGATAAAATAAAATAACACAATAATATTCTCACGACGTTTCGGCCACACCACAAGCGGCCTTCATCAGGTGAAGGGACGAGACTGTGTCTGGTAGGACAGCGCTGTCCTACCAGAGACAGTCTCGTCCCTTCACCTGATATTTTATCAATTTATTATTTTATTCTCATTCTACGTGACTTTACCGAAAGAACCAAAGAAGAAGACCTCCCTGTACCATGTGACACCACAGTCGCCACGTCACAGGAAGCACATTTTAAAATGTGCCCATTACAGGAAGTGGCATTGATTCCTGCGGCATTATATTTTTTTCTGACCAATATGAAACGCACACAAAGATCGTATCGTCTGAAATGTCGCGTTTTTTTTTTAAGGCCCAAATTTCCGATTTAAATTTGGGATCAATCGGCAAAATAAGGAACACATTTCCAATACATATGTGAGTGCGCGTGTGTGTATGGTAACGTATGGGGAGCGGTAGTGCAGCGGTTAGCGCTCTGCTACCAACCCGGCGACTCGCATTCGATTCCCGCTCATGGTCAACACCAGTGGCCATTATCTGAAAACACGACCCCTGGTTCTCCCCGAGGTCGACTCGGCCTCAGATGAGCACTTGGTGCAGTGCGTAGTAAAAAACGTCGCCCACTCGGGAGACAAAAGCGGACGGACGTGCTTGGCGCTGGCCGCCCACCCCCTCGTGTGCCGTTCATAGGTGCAACTCGCTCACGGCACTTGCCCCGAAAGTCTGTCGAGGCTATACAGGGGTGGGGGGGGGGGGATCTTTGTCTTTGTGTTTCTGCGTGTGTGGGACCAGGCGACCCTCATCGTGGTGCTCGAGTACCTGACTGTGTGGTTCGAGGAGAGAGGCTTCTCCGAGGAGCTGGTGAGCCCCCCCCCCCCCGATTTGCGAAGTGAACGGCGAATGACAACGCTGAAAACAAACTCGATTTTTTTTTCTTCTTCTTCTCTTTCGAAATTTTATTTTCAAATCGTGGGAATGTTTTTTTTACATTTTTAGTGTGGTGAGTGAACACACAGTGTGTTAGTAGCTGGGTGATCGAGAGTGATTGGGTGGGTGGATAGGTGGATGAGTGGGTGGGTGGGTAAGTGTGTGAGTGAGCGACTTGGCGAGCGAGTTTGTTGTTGTAACCTGACTCGCAAAAAACAGTCTGTCTGCTAGATCAGTGTTAACCGACATTCGATTTTAACCTAATTGCCGAATGCGAATCTTCACTGGTCACTGCAGCGCGACTTACTGCTGCGCCAGAGTGATTTGCAATAGCGGCGAGTGTGGCGGCGGTGGCGGCGTACCGCGGGTGTTCCGTGTTCCTTGCAGGGACGCTGGATCTACGCGCTGCTTGCCTGCATCGAGAAGCCTCTGCTGCCAGAGGCCCACTCCCTGCTGCGACAAATAGCCCGCAACTGTGCCAGCCTCCGGGCCAGTCTGGTGAGTGAAAAGCACAGGAGCCTTTTACCACACCCGTCGCTTGACGGTCAGACCGATATGTTTGGTACTCAGGAGCCGGACCATTAGCCAAGTTCAGTGCGGAACCAAATGATAATGTGACGGTTCTTGTGCAATCATTGGCGACCAGGTTGGGACCATCATCACCTCGCCACCGAGACAGGTGATGGTCCCATCGGATGCCAGAGTGCTGCTCGTTTGAGTGGGGGGGGGGGGGGGGGGGGGGGGGGTACCACGTGGACTGCCGATTCGTCGGTCCGGCTCGTGGCCGTTTGAAGCGACGGTGAGACCCGTGGCGACTCCTACAAGCTGTGCCGTTTTGTGTTGGTGCCATCTCATAATTTCTTTATTCATTTTTTATTCATCTCATCATGTTGCCAGAAAAAAAGGGGGAAAAACCTATTCTTATATTTTGGTACTGGCAAAGGAGGTCGCATGATGTAGATGCTTACCCGGAGCCCTCTTTACTTTGATAGTGCATCGTCTTTGAGCTGTACGCCTTTTGACGTCCTCTGGTCTAGCACCGTTGGAGATGAGGCTCAAAAGAAAGCCGTCTCTGGTGTGGACCAATCAGTTTCAAGGACAATGCATTTATTATTATCAGTGTTTTTTGTTTGCATTCTGACCACAAGCATTGTGGTTAATGCAAACATGATTCCTTGTAAAAACGTTTCAGTTTTGTTACCAGAAAAAAGGGGAAAAACCTCTTCTTATATTTTGGTACTGAAAACTCATTTTAATTTTTAACTGCTTTTTGTGTAAAAATCTTGACTTAAAGCTTTCGTGACTGCGGGAATTCATATTCTTTGGGTCTTTCGGTGAAGTCACGTCGATAGGTTCAAAGAAAATAACAAAAAAACCTACGACGTTTCGATCGCAACACAAGCGGTCGTCATCAGGAACGCTTGTGTCGGTCGTCCTTCCCCCGCACCTCCGATTTGCACGGTAGGCCACATGCGGTGTAAAATAAGCTGAACATGCATAATAGCTACAACTTACGAACATTATCGTTGTTATTGTTATCTTGTCGCGCTCCAGGAGAGCCCCGAAGACAGCAGGCTGTCTGCGCTCAACTTGCTCATCTGCCTTGTGGCGAGGTGAGTCCACGCTGTGCGGGAGTCTCGCGGCGTTCTCGCGACGTTCTCGCCTTGATGGTGCACGGAAACGGGAGGTGATGCTGATGATGACGACGGTGATGACGATGGTGATGACGACGACGATGATGACGACGACGATGATGACGACGATGACGATGATAATGACGACGATGACGATGAATGATGATAATGACGATGAATGATGATAATGACGATGAATGACGAAGGACGGTGGTGGTGGTGGTGCTGTCGGTGGAGGGAGCTGTAGTGTAGCGGTTAGCGCGCTGCGCTATTAACCCGGCAACCCGAGTTCGATTCCAGCTCACGGCCAACGCCAATAGACCATTATCTCAATCGGTCTTGGGCCTCCCCTGGGTCGAATGGAATACCTGGTGCGGTGCGTAAACATCGCCACTGGGGAGACAAAGACGGCCGAGCGTGATGCTGGACATCCACTCCCCTAGTGTGCCGTGCCGGCCTTCATAGATGCTGCTCGATAACACCACTTGCCCCAACAGTCTGTTAAGGCCACACGGGGGTTAGTTTTTGCTGTTGGTGGTGTCGGTGGCGACACGTGCCCGTGACCACACGACCCTTAAAGCGCCCAGCGTCGCCGGATCTACGGAGGCTAAGCACGGGTAGAATCTAGATGATGAGAACTAATGATGATCGTACTACTCTCTGGTTCTTTCGGTAAAGTCACGTAGAAGGGAAACAATAAAATAATAAAAATATTTTTAAAAATATTTTTTTTATTGTTTTATATTTTTATTATTTTATTGTTTCCCTTCTACGTGACTTTGCTGAAAGAACCAAGAATATGAATCCCTGCAGTCACGAAAGCTTTAAATCAAAGCATAGTAAACTTGGAAGTACAATGCAATACAGCACAGAGAGTCGGCCAACAAAACACCCAAACCTGGTTGATTACGTTCTTCCAAAGATTGCCAAATCGTAATAATTTCAACTTGTAGCGCGCAAACGCACCGCATTCGTTCGCGCTCGTAGAGAGCCTGACACGGTGACACGGTGACACGGTGGCACGGTGGCACGGTGACACGGTGGCACGGTGACACGGTGACACGGTGGCACGGTGACACGGTGACACGGTGACACGGTGACACGGTGGCACGGTGACACGGTGGCACGGTGACACGGTGACACGGTGACACGGTGGCACGGTGACACGGTGACACGGTGGCACGGTGACACGGTGACACGGTGACACGGTGGCACAGTGGTGCCGGGGGGGGGGGGGACCACACAGTGAGGAGCCGGCGCCAACAATTTTCCCAAGCTCTGTGGTCCTCTGTATATCAAGGTGGTGTTATTGGAAATTGATGAGTCTTTACATGTGGGAGGAAACCGGGGGCAGTGGACAAGGGCGGGTGGGGGGGGTAATAATTCACACACCTAGGCCTCCATTGACCGTGCCCTCCGCATTTCTCTCCCAACAGATACTTTGAGCAGAAGGATCTCGCGGACAACTGACGGTGGACTGAGCCGTCGGTTCGCAACGCTCACCTTTACAAAAAAGATTCAATCTGCCCACACCGCCCCCCCCCCCCACCCACCATTTTATTATGATGAATACAAATCTTCATCATAACCGCGATTTTACAGTCTGTGAACAAAGACAAAGATCCCCCGTGTAGTCGTAACAGACTGTTTGGGGGAAAGTGCTGTTATAATGAGTATCAGCAGCGCGACCTATGAAGGGCCTGCACTGTGGCACACGTGGCGAGTTGTGGCCTGGCACCTCACCCGGGGCTGGCCGCCTTTGTCCCGCTCGTGGCGATGTTCACGCGCCGCTCCAGGTACTCGTAGTGGAGGCCGAGTCGACCTAGTGGAGGCCCAGGAATCCGTGAACACAACTCGCGCGGGCGCGCGCGCGCGCAAGCTTGGGACAGGGAAAGCGCGGGGAGCAGTTTTAGAGCTTTGTGTTTTTCGTCGCGCCGCGTCGGCAAGCGGAGTCGAGTTGGCTCGCGATTTTGCCTGCGGCCCGAAACCGCGATCGCTGTGCAGTGGCGGCAGCAGCAGCAGCAGCAGCAGCGTAAAATGTTTTTTTTCATATTGAGAATAAAACTTGCCACGACGATAGCGATGCTCGAGCAGAACTAAGCGAATGTGCGTGTGAATAAACGGCGTGGTGTTTTTTTGATACTACCCATTTTTTACGGAGGCCGTTTGTTTTCATTTCTTCAAAGGCGAGCGCCGTTTTCGCGATTTCACCGCTTACTGGCGTTGAGATCTTACCCCGCGTGGTTTTGTGCGCCGCGGGAAAAGGCCCCCGGAGTGGGGCACCGAGTTGAATGCAGGCTCGTGCTGTGCCCGTGCTGCGTTGTTGGGAATCTCCTCGCGCTCTCCCACTCGGGGTGAAAGCGCTAATCCGGAGATTAGCGCGGCCCGGCTTGTCGCTCCGTCTGTCTGGTGGCCGGTAAAAACGGCACGGTACGATAGGCACGGTACGATAGGCGCAGTAAAAACACAACCTCTCGCCGACGCGATGATCCCATGGGAACTCGTCGCTCTGGAGCAGCAGCAGCAGCAGCAGCTCTCTAGAGTGTGGATCCCCGGGACCACCGGTGGTAGGCCGCGAGGCTCCCCCAGGTGGACAGCGAAGCCCCCCCAGGTGGGCCGCGAGGCTCCCCCAGGTGGGCCGAGAGGCTCCCCCAGGTGGGCCGAGAAGACCCCTCAGGTGGGCCGAGAGGCTCCCCCAGGTGGGCGAGAGGCTCCCCCTGGTGGGCCGAGAGGCTCCCCCAGGTGGGCCGAGAGGCTCCCCCAGGTGGGCTGCGAAGCCCCCCCAGGTGGGCGAGAGGCTCCCCCAGGTGGGCCGCGAGGCTCCCCCTGGTGGGCCGAGAGGCTCCCCCAGGTGGCCGAGAGGCTCCCCCAGGTGGGCCGAGAGGCTCCCCAGGTGGGCCGAGAGGCTCCCCCAGGTGGCCGAGAGGCTCCCCCAGGTGGGCCGCGGTGGCTGTGATACAAACGGAGCTTGATCCTGACAATAATGACGTTTATAATGCCTTTTGTTGCAGACATTGTCTCATATTTTACTTCCGATAGTTAATTTGAAAGTGAAGTTAGGTAAACTACCCTAACATCTAAATGTGCCCCCCCCCCAAAAAAAAACATAGCTACGAGTTTAAAAATATATATATTGTTATGCTCCGGTAATATGAATCATTCCGTATTGCTGTTAATTAAGAGAGAAGTGAATGCGTTTTGCCAGAATCGGAATATTGAGACTGCATGAAGCGGAATCCGATGAGCTATGAAGCTCTTTGTCACAGATGTCCTGCATGGTTGGGTCACCACGTTAGAGAGGGGGGGGGGGTGGTGGTGCTGGGCAGCTTGAGACGCGCCGCACGAGCGCGTCACGTCTCGCTGTTGCCTGTTGGGCCTCGCCAGGCAGACGAGACGGACCCACGCCAATCAAGTGGTGGACCCGCAACCCCCGTCCAGAGCCGCGTGATCTCAACGTGGCCGTTCCACGGCGCCTGGCGCACGATTGCTCGTGAACGATTCCAGACGTGCGCGCTTTTTCGCCTTGTGGGAAAGTCAACAATAACAACAATAACGCCGCCCGGTTCGTTATGTCACCCGAGAATATCAGGGGTGGGGAACGTCCGGGCCGTATGAGGCACCGCGAAATCATTTGGTGTCTGGCCCTGCCAAGGCAACCGCAGGCGGGACTCGAAATTCAAGAAATCTCGGAGCAAAACGTGGAAAAGCAGCCGCGAGTAGCAGCAGCATCATCAATGCCGGCTAACATCACACGCCTCACCAAAGAGAAGCAGTTCCAGCCATCGCATTAAGGGGGGAGTAGTTCATTAAAAATGTTTGACAAAAATATAACAGGCAAATTTTAAAGTTGATAATTTTGTACGGGCCCGCGAATGATGTAATATAAATATCCGAATGGCCCTTGGCAGAGAAAAGGTTCCCCTGCCCTAGACCGTCGCGGTATTAGAATCGTCCCGTGCTCGTGAGCAGACGGCAATGTACAGCGTGGTCCACATGTTTTGTGACGCACATTTAATTCCCTATGAACGTAATTTTGTTTAAAGTAAGGTTTTTTTGTTTAAAACGACAATGAATATGCAAAGGAACAAGGGGTTTCGCAGATGCGGTTGTTCCGGCTCGGGATATGCCTTGCGGGTTACCTAACCGGGTCAGATGGGGCTGAAGTTAAACCCTGGTCATCAAGGCAGTGGTGGGCTTACCGATAACCCCACCCCACACCCCCCTGTTTAAGAATGTGGAATTTCCTCCGGTGCAGTCGTCCAACGGGCGATAGCTGCCAGGGCAGCCACGGGCTGGTTCGAGCCGTCTTCTCTGTTAAAAACAAAAAAATTTACTCCACTGCCAATTTCATGCCCTTGAATTTTCTGCCACGTGACCTCTCCCTGAAGCGTTCAAGTTAATGAGACACCGGTGATGAATGGTGTTACGCAACAGCCAAAGGCCGCGTTGCCCGTCTATCCAGTGCCAGATTATCGTAGTAGCACAAGTAGCTACGTGTGTAGTAGCTACATGTAGCTACGTGTGTAGTAGCTACATGTAGCTACGTGTGTAGTAGCTACATGTAGCTACGTGTGTAGTAGCTACTACACAAGTAGCTACATGTGTAGTAGCTACATGTGTAGTAGCTACATGTGTAGTAGCTACATGTGTAGTAGCTACTACGCATGTAGCTACTACACATGTAGCTACATGTGTAGTAGCTACGTGTGTAGTAGCTACTACACACGTAGCTACATGTGTAGTAGCTACGTGTGTAGTAGCTACGTGTGTAGTAGCTACGTGTGTAGTAGCTACGTGTGTAGTAGCTACGTGTGTAGTAGCTACGTGTGTAGTAGCTACGTGTGTAGTAGCTACATGTGTAGTAGCTACATGTGTAGTAGCTACATGTGTAGTAGCTACATGTGTAGCTAAGAATGTGGAATTTCCACATCTAGCAGCTACACGTGTAGCAGCTACATGCCCCGCACTTTCAAGCTATCAATTCCGGCTCAGTGATTCTGCACTTCCTCCAGTACTATAGTACTATACTGCCTTCAACTTTTACGAACGACTGGGAGGATGATTGCTTGTGTGGCGATCGAATCGTCGTGATCTATTATTTTTCTGCCTACGTGACTTTACCGAAAGAATCAAAGAGTATGGAATCATGCAGTGACGAAAGCTTCAAATCTAGATTGTGTTTAAGGTTAGCGATTTGTCTTATTATCTGGCTGTACATCAAATGAAAAAAGACAATGACTTTACTATGCAAGTTAAACATTTGTGTGTTTTAATATTTACGTGTTTTTTTTTAGTTAGGGCCCCTTTATAACATCATGCTACAGGCTAGCTTCATCCGGCACTGCGTGTTCAATAAAACCCGTGGTGACTGCGCGCTGTTCTTGAGCGATGTTCGTGTGCGCGTGGACTGCGTTGAACTTCTTCCACACCGTACGTAGTAGCCGACCCCGCTCGTGGGGAGATGCTTGGGAAGAGGACAAACTAAACACAAGTCTGACACGCCGTAGGAGGCTTTCGCGACCGATATATCATCCATAATCGAGGTTTGTCGGGGGTTAGATCGCGTTAAAAAAAAATGTGTGTCGTTAAATCCGCCGCCACCAATAATTTTGTAACAGAACGTGGCCAGTTCGTTACTGGTACAACACCACCGGTGTGATGGAGAGCCAAGCCACGCAACATTTACAATCTGAGTACTCAGACAACTATTGTAGAGCGAATCCACAACATTTACAAACTGAGTACTGTACTCCTATTGTGGTGTGCTGTACTCGTAACGAATTGGCATGTTCTGTTTACGTGACGACCCTTGCTGATTGGCTGTGCCGGGTTTAACGATGCATTTAAATTTACGCGATCTAACGCCGCAACAACCTCGACTGCGGATTACGTCACGCGATTTTGGACGATTTTTGACCCCCCTCCCCCCCCATCGTCACACGGCGTCACAAAAAGTCAGACCCCCCCCCCCCAAATATGACGTCACAAAGCTCTGCCCCCCCCCCCAAAAAAATATATAAAACACGCTTCAAATCGCTTTAAACTGTTGTCACTGTAGTGCGTATTTAATGTGGCGCTGCACTCTGATGTTGTAGGCGTGTTATAACAATTAGTGTTATAACAATTCTATATTTCGATTTAAAGCTTTCGTCACTGCAGGGATTCATCTTCTTGGTTCTTTCGGTAAAGTCACCACGTAGAAGGGAAATAATAAAATAATAAATCACAATTCTATATTTATTAAAAGTTGCTCATTTTGGTGTGACGTCACATTTCTCAAACCCCGCCCCCCCCTCGTCACACATCGTCACAAATGTCTGACCCCCCTCCCCCACCCCCCTAGGTGCGTGACGTCATTTATGGACGGCCCCTTTGTACGACTCTGTGGGAGTTCCATTTATTTTCATAGTTCCATTTATTTGGTATAGCCCTGTGAGCCATTCGGCTCTTGAATCGGGTGCAACCACAACAAACAAAAAAACACGAACAAGAAAACATCTTAAAGTGACTATGTGACTGTGCAAACAGAAAACACAGGAGAAAATCATCAAAATATTCCTGAAATAGCACCGTACACCAACGCTGTGTGCAAAAAATCCCAGTGGGATACAAGTCAAACAACAACATCACCAACCACAATGCAACTTATATTAAGGCCATCAGTCTTAACTCCGTACTACGACAAACAAAAACATGGCCAAAACAAAAAAAAAGTTTTCGAAATCACCAAAATAAAGCCATAAATGCAATAATGTAACAGCGATCATATGGATTGTGACCGAATTTTTAACTGCTGTTGTACGCATTTTGGCGTCTTCAGGTCCAACACCATTGGAGACTAGGCTCTAAGAAAAGCCGTCTCGGGTGTGGACCAATCAAATTCAAGGACAGTGCCAATATTATTATCAGAGTTGTCTCTTTTGTTTGCATTTTTGACTGCTCGTGTTGTGGTTATTGCAAAACATGATTCCTTGAATAAAGGTGTCAGTTTTTTTTAATTTCGATTTAAAGCTTTCGTGACTGCAATGATTCATCTTCTTTGGTTCTTTCGGTAAAGTCACGTAGAATGAGAATAAAATAATAAATTGATAAAATAAAATAACACAATAATATTCTCACGACGTTTCGGCCACAACACAAGCGGCCACCGAAAGAACCAAAGAAGGTGTCAGTTTTTGTGCCAGTTAAAAGGGTAAAACCTATTCCTATATGCTGTACTTCTGCTGAGAGGCCGCGCGCGTGCCCTGAACTGTCGGCAGAGGGCACGTGGAGCCACCTCCACTGTTGAGCGCCCATCAGCTGTGGAGGAGAGAGAGAGCGAGCAAGCCCACGTGCGTTCGGATCATATGATCGCAGCATCATCAGCTTCACCGCACCCGCGACAACTTCCTCGTTCTTAGCCCGCTCTCGTCCTACAATCGGCGGCAGCAGCAGCAGCAGCGGGTAGTGTCAATTACTGCTGTGATCTGTATTACATTCAGCAAAGCAGCTGTAGCGGCTCTTGGTGGCTGTGTTTGTTACACAAGCAGCAGCAGAAGTACAGCAGTCGAGTTGAGCGGTGAGCGGTTTCGTAATCGGCAGACAGCAGCGATAAGTTGATTATCAACAGATGCAGCAGTCTCCAAGGGGGCAGCAGGAGCCGTGACTGACTCCCAGCAGGATACACAAGCAGCTGGTGACTTATCAGCAGCAGCAGTAGTTGTGTTGACTGCAGCAGTAGCAGCAGTAGTTGTGTTGACTGCAGCAGTAGTTGTGTTGACTGCAGCAGTAGTAGCAGTAGTTGTGTTGACTGCAGTAGGAGTAGTAGTAGTTGTGTTGACTGCAGCAGTAGTTGTGTTGACTGCAGCAGTAGCAGCAGTAGTTGTTGTGTTGACTGCAGTAGGAGTAGCAGTAGTTGTGTTGACTGCAGCAGTAGTAGTTGTGTTGACTGCAGCAGTAGTTGTGTTGACTTCAGTAGTAGCAGTAGTTGTGTTGACTTCAGTAGCAGCAGTAGTTGTGTTGACTGCAGCAGTAGCAGTAGTTGTGTTGACTTCAGTAGCAGCAGTAGTTGTGTTCACTGCAGTAGTAGCAGTAGTTGTGTTGACTTCAGTAGCAGCAGTAGTTGTGTTGACTGCAGTAGTAGCATCAGTAGCGGTAGCTGTGTTGACTGCAGTAGTAGCAGCAGTAGTGGTGAAAGAAGTTCCACATTCGTACGAGAACAGCTGCAGCTGCAGCAGGGACCATGAGGACCTCGCGGCTCCTCCTGCTGCTCGGCTGCTGCTGCTGCTTCTTCTCCTGCTGCTGCTGCAGCGCGGAGAGTCGAAGCCACGGACCTAACGTGGTGTTCGTGCTCACTGACGATCAGGACGTGGTCCTGGGGGGCATGGTAAGAGGGGGGGGGGGGTGGTGTCTGTGTCTCTTGTCTGTCTTGATGTGTGTCTTTGTGTGTCTGTGTGTCTGTGTGTGTGTGTCTGTGTGTGTCTGTCTTGATTTGTGTCTGTGTGTGTGTCTGTGTGTGTCTGTCTTGATGTGTGTGTCTGTGTGTGTCTGTCTGTCTGTGTGTCTGTCTTGATGTGTGTGTCTGTGTGTGTCTGTGTGTGTCTGTCTGTCTTGATGTGTGTATGTGTCTGTCTGTGTGTGTCTGTCTTGATTTGTGTCTGTGTGTGTGTCTGTGTGTGTCTGTGTGTGTCTGTCTTGATTTGTGTCTGTGTGTGTCTGTCTTGATGTGTGTGTCTTTGTGTGTCTGTGTGTGTCTGTCTTGATTTGTGTCTGTGTGTGTGTCTGTGTGTGTGTCTATCTTGATGTGTGTGTCTGTGTGTGTCTGTGTGTGTGTCTGTCTTGATGTGTGTGCCTGTGTGTGTCTGTCTTGATTTGTGTCTTGATGTGTGTGTCTGTGTGTGTGTCTGTCTTGATGTGTGTGTGTGTCTGTGTGTGTCTGTCTTGATTTGTGTCTGTGTGTGTGTCTGTGTGTGTCTGTGTGTGTGTGTCTGTCTGTGTGCACCTGGGCAGTGTGCTCATGACCGGCTCCAATTTAACAACAAGGGTCTCGTGATAATTGTTTTTTTACCCTTTTATCTGGCAACAAAACTGACACCTTTTTTACAAGGAGTCATGTTTACATTGACCACAATACCTGCGGTCGGAACGCAAACAAAAACAACAACTCTGATAATGTATGTGGCACTGTCCTTGAAATTGATTGGTCCACACCCGAGACAGCTTTCTTTAGAGCCTCGTCTCACATGGTGTTGGACCAGAAGACGCCAAAAGGCGCACAACTCAAAAACAATCCACCATCAGAGTAAAAAAACAATTATCATATTTTGTTACTGGCAAATGAGGTTTCCAATGGTGTAAATGCTTAACCCGAGCTCTCATACTCTGATGGTGCATTGTCTTTGAGTTGTGCGCCTTTTGGCGTCTTCTGGTCCAACACCAACGTGAGACGAAGCTCTAAAGAAAGCTGTCTCGGGTGTGGAACAGTCAATTTCAAGGACAGTGCCACATGCATTATCAGAGTTGTTTTTTGTTTGCGTTCCGACCGCAGGTATTGTGGTCAATGTAAACGTGACTCTTTGTAAAAAAAGGTGTCAGTTTTGTTGCCAGATAAAAGGGTAAGAAAAATTATTATCATATTTTGTTACTGGCAAATGAGGTTTCCAATGGTGGAGCAAAGGTCTCACTCCGAATCAGTCGAGCGGCAATATATTTTCATCGGTTGCGTAACGCTGTGTGGAAGCTACCTGGTCTGTCGCTCCGCACTAAGCTTCAGATCTTCTCGGCCACGTTCATTCCCTCCCTTCTCTACGCTTGCGAACGTGGACCCCCTTAATGGAACATCTTCGCCGATTAGAAACATTTATGCTAGCCTGCCTACGATCCATCCTGGGTTTAACCAGGCTGGATTGTGTGAGGAGCTCACAAATTCTTGAAAGATCTGGGCAAGGTCCCATCGGTGAGCTCCTCCGGCAGGCAAGGCTGCGTTGGCTGGGTCATGTAGCCCGCATGCCCAGCCACCGCATGTCGAAACAGCTTTTGTTTGGCCGGATCGAGGGGGCTAAACGGGCACGGCACGGGCTAGAGAAGAGATTGAGTGATGTGGTACAGGAGGACGTGGAGCTGAGTGGACTTGCCGATGACTGGTACCAGCGGTGTCAAGATCGGCCTCTGTGGAGGAGGCTCGTAAAGGACGCTATTGGGCAGTTGAAGGCAGTCGCCCTCCAACAACAACAGAGGGCGGAGGAGCGACGCTCACAATAACGAGCGGAGCGCCAGGTGGCTAAAGCACAGCAGGTTGGCACAGTAGGGGGCACAGGTGGTGCATCGGCCAGTCATCTCAGTCAGTCGACCCGTGGCACCTGGGTCTGCCCCGTGACCTGCCAGCGGGCGTTCGACACTTCACGTGGCCTGAAGGTGCACATGGCCTGGCACAAGCGTCGTGTTGACGTCACCGCCACTTATTGGCGAATGGTGGTTGTTGTTGTCTGTCTGTGTGTGGCTGTGTGTGTCTGTCTTGATGTGTGTCTGTCTTGATGTGTGTCTGTGTGTGTGTCTGTCTTGATGTGTGTGTGTGTCTTGATGTGTGTGTGTTTGTCTTGATGTGTGTCTGTGTGTGTGTCTGTCTGTATGTGATCTTTGTCTGCCCTTGGCATTTGTGTTGTCTCAGTAAACACGTGGCCGTGCCCTGTCGACATTCACCATGTAACTACAATGTTTGTAGTAATTATAACAAGAGTGATTTATAACAATAGTGATACACAGTCCGTTGTCATTCCCCTTCTGGGTGAAGGCTTCCTGCCTCCTCGTCAGTCGGGAGTCGGCAGCCTGTGGCTCAGGGGCCACGTGCGACTCACTGAGGACTTGCTCCGTAATCTTATTTATTAAGGATCACCATCACCACCACCACCACCACAGTGCATTGCGTCTCTTGAAATACCGAGTAGTTGTTTTTTTTACCGAATTAAAAAAATTGTGCTTCTGGTTTCTGGACCCCGTGATCATAGTGGTCGTGTGACCATACTTCACCACCCCGGTCAATGCGGGTTCGTGTAGGTCGGGGTAAAAAAAAACCCCACGGCTGGGTTCAGGAGGTATCAGGCGACACTGATGTTCGCCAGCGGCCGAGACTCTTAACTCACGTGACCAAGGTCATAGTTCAGTGTGCTAACCGCTGCACCACCGCTCCCTCCGACCCAAGTTGCTGTGGTGGACATCTTAGTGCTTAACTTACAGACGGAGTCAGTTGAGGCGCGACACACGTCCACTATTATGCGGTTGAACAAAAATAACTATTAGTACAATATGCGTTGTGTAGAATTATTCCGTATCATTATGATTCAGAATCAGAAGTGGGTTTTTTTTTCCCGAGTCTCAAGGAGCGTTGAGATAAGCAGCGAGGTCTCAAGGTCGACTCTCCCGCGACACAACAGCAAAGTGGGGCAGCTTCGTTCAATGCTTTATTATACTTTTGAGACTCTAGTGGTAGTGCCTTACGCCGGCAATGCAAACTTCCAAAGGAAGCCTATTTTATTTACGCGATTGATTCAGCTCACGGCCAATAGCAGTTACGATTATCTGAACCAGTCCAGCCTGGGCCTCCCCTAGGTCGACTCGGCCTCAAATGTGTACAGTACTGAACCTGGTACGATGTGCAAACATCGCCTCTAGGGAGACAAAGGCGGCCGGGCGTGGTGGTGACCACCCTACCACCCCATCTTGTGCCGTTCCAGCCTTTATGAGGCGCTAACAAATCCTTGCCCCACCCGTCTGTTAAGGCTATTCAGGGGGGGGGGGGTCTTTGTCTTTTTATATAAATGTGTAAGTAAACGTCACGTGATGTGTCCTGAATGAATTGCTGTGACGTGTGTTAACTAATGCTCCACTCGCTTGACGCAATAATGCAGTGGAGTGTGAATACAGCACGCCGCGCTGCATTGCGAAGTTTCTCCAGTGACGCGCTTGCATTGACTCATAAACGCACAGGGGCTCAGCACGTGATGTCACAACCTGCCCTGAGCTCCCCCGACCCCACCCCTCTAGGTCTACTCAGCCTTAAATGAGTGCCTGGCCTAGTCGCCAGGTGTGCAAGAGACCAGCAGTGGGGACATAAAGGCGGCCGTGTGTGAATGCATGCTGCCCCGGTGCGCTTGAGCGGAGTAAAGCTGCAGGCCTTCTTAATGAATAGGCGATGGGTAACAACACGATATGCTCCCGTAGCGCGTCTCTTACAGATAAACCCACGTGACGTCTTGACCGGCTACAGACGGTAGGTAACCGCTCGGCGTCGACGATTATAACTCGTTCACCTGGGGCACATCGGAGGGGGCCACAAGTTGCCACAGTCGGTCGCACGGATCCGTTTAGTGCGTCAGCGGCAGCAGCATCACCGACGCGATCCATGGGCAGATAGCCCTCAGCCGGTGCCCACTGCACGTTTTCGTCTTTCGTTTCCACCTTCCTCTCTGTCTTGTGCCAGTACGCTCCAGGAGTGGCCGCGTCTTCCTGGCGGCACAATCTCTTCTCATGGCGTCGTCGTGAAGACGTTCTCTGTTGCGGTCTTCCCCTCTCTTTCCATTTGACCGAACAACAACACACTTTAAATCTTCCTGTTGTTGTCGACGCTCCTCCACGTGGGTGTCCAAACAGTGGCAGTCTCCTTCTCATCACTGCCCGCATCGTCAACATTTTTTATCGCTTCTACGCCGGTCACTCTTTGTGTCCAGCGGAGATCCAGCAGTATCCCTCCGTAGCGATGCATTTCTCATGCCAGTATCTGATACTCTGTCGGCCTTTTATTAAGTCTTGCCGGGCTGAATGCAGCACACGGACACAGAAAGCGCCGATTCGTAAGCCCGGCATATAAGGCAAAGGCGCAGCCGTGCAGTTGCCCGTTCGCGTCACTGCAGCTGGAAGGGGCTTCCGCTAGATGCAGCCCCCTATTTTGGTGCCTCCTCTTCCACGCTGAACCCGAAACATTTTGGACGAGCTTGTAGTACCCACACTTTACCCCCACCACGTGCCACTCGCCGATCCGACTGACCGTGGTGTAACCCTCAAGGTACTGCTGGGTGGGGCAGAGGTGGCTCCGGGGGGGGGGGGGGTTTAAGCAACGCGTCCATTGCGATATTTGTTTTAATTTTTTTACCCTTGGACGATCTTCAAACAACCACTTTTTTTTTTGCGAACGTATTCCACCGGTGACACGTGCGTGTTGGGAGTAACGTTTGGTTGTGACTCGCGCGCGCGTGAGCCGTGAGCTCAGGAGTGGATGCGTCGTGTAAGCCCAACAGCTGTGGACGCTGTTGCCGGGTCGAACTGACCGTGGCTTCGTCTTTCCCCCGCCTCTAGACCCCGCTCAAGAAAACCATCGCCCTCATCGGAGACGAAGGGGCGACCTTCACCAACGCGGTGAGCGCACGGACCGTCGAGTAACCGGTGACTCTCTCACCGATCGCCGCTCCGGTTACGCGACCAAGCGATCGGACCTCACCAAGGGGATCGGCAACCACAGTAACAGGAAGAGACAATTTTTTTTGTTCAAATTCGCTAAAACGCCGAATCATTTCAAGCACCGCATTGCACGCGAACGCCAGACGTTGTCGGTCCTCAATGAGTAGCGTCACAAAGCAGCTCCTGAAAGAGCCGCACGCGGTTCCTGAGCCGCATGTTCGCCAACCCCTGGACAACGCCAATGTAGCCGGAGGAAAAGAAGACGGCAAAAGCCTCGGCACTGTCCACACGTGTGCCGCTGGACGGGAGGTGACGCGGTGGGGGATTCGGCGAGTTCGTCGGCACAACCGGCGGCGTCGCGCTAGGCGTGGATTGTATCGGGGGGGGGGGGGGGGGTTTCCCACCTTCGGGAGCCAGGATCAGATGATGCTGGATGTATTTACCAGCGAAACGTCGTACTACTCAAACTGTAAATGTTGTGGATTCACTCTTCAACACACCGGTGGGCTAAAGTAGTGAATTATTTGTCTTTTGTCAACGTGACACTTTTTTTGCTGATTGGCCGTGTCGGGTGGTGGAGGGTTACGACACATTTATAAATAAATGGGAGGCAGGATGTTGGGGCGGCCACCATTTATCAACGAGGCCCAATTTTTAGGTTTATTAATCGAAAGCCAATTCATCCAAACACATTCACACACACGCGCGGTGGTGAATTGGCTGTCGATTAATAAACCTGACATTGAGGGCCAATATCCTAGGCAATATATTTGAGCTGTTTTGTGTGGACGTCTTCATTAGCAAAGCAGAGTTGTTACGCACAAAAATCTCCCTACAGAGTCGTAATAAACGTTAGAATGCGCAGTTCACTTAAAACCACCCCGTGGGTGACCCAGGGGTCAGACGACTGAGTTGGCATGGGCGTTGTCTGAGAATCTGGCTTTTTAATTTGGCTTCTGGCCTTAGAAGTTAATTGGAAACAAATTAAATCTGTAGTGCCGTTGTGTTCGCCGGTTTACAAAATACGCCCTTGTTTTACTGTATTTGACAGTAAAAGTGGAATGGGGGGGAGATGGAGGGTGTCTCATTAATCCGGTGCGTTGTTATAATTTGGCGAATACGGCAACCGGAATGTATGTATGTAGGGATGTTGAATTTCTCCCGTAGCCAACCACACTAATCGGCTTGGTCTTCCTTTTACGGAACTGTTTGCATCTCTCAAGTTACAAAAAAAAAATCAGAGGGCCAGGAAGGGAGTTTAGAAAATGTTTAAAACCCCCGTAACATTAGCTTGGTGAAGCATGTCGGCCGTAGTTTATATTTCGCTGGGGCGGCTTGGACGGGGGGGCGTAAGTCAACGATTGGGGTGCGGCTTACTTTCTGGAGAGCACGGTAATAACGGGGAACCGGCTGACGGGCGGCTCGAAGTCGGAAGTACGAGAGTTCAATTCAGGGTCAGGGGATCGGGTCGATAAAACGAGCACCGCTTTGCGGGGGAAGTGAAAAGAAGCGATTGTTTAATTTGAGCAACGGGTGCCCGGGGAATGGAGCGAGCGCTGTGAACTGAATAAAAAACACAATAGAGGTTTTTGTTTGGGGTTAGATCGCGTTAATATGAACGTATCGTTAAACCCGCCACCACCCGACACGGCCGATTAGTAAGGTTTGTCACGTAAACAGAACGTGCCAATTCCAGCACAGCACGCCGGTGTGTTGGAGAGCAAATCCACAACATTCACAACCTGAGTACGACGTTTCGACACACACTGTGATATTGGTCGCGACAGCCTCCGTGGGATAGAAAACAGCAAACGTGTTCAAAGCCACGCACCTCCTCCCCCCCCCCCCGCCACCGGCGACCCCTGACCCCTCGTCTACAACCGCCACTCCTCTCTCTCTTTCTCCCCCAGTTCGTCGCCAGCCCGCTCTGCTGCCCCAGCCGCAGCAGCATCCTGACAGGCAAGTACCCGCACAACCACGGCGTGGTGAACAACTCCCTCTCGGGCAACTGCAGCAGCGCCGCGTGGCAGAAACTGCAGGAGACGGACGCCTTCCCCGTGCACCTCCGCCGCGCCGGCTACCACACGTTCTTCGCCGGGAAGTACCTCAACCAGGTGCGTGCGTGCGAGTGTGCGAGCGAGCGTGCGAGCGAGCGTGCGTTGAACTTCTTTTGCGCCGTACCGTAGCCGCCAACCGCGCCCATCAGAGGCTGCGGTGGAAGGACAACAAACTGAAAGACGGAAAGCAGGCGTAAAGGAATTCGTTTTCAATCTAGATGATTTAAAAGTGCATAGCTCCAGTGGCTTCCTAATATATCAAAAGGAAGAGCGTTCTAGACGGCCGCACAAGAACATCTGAAGGCGACCGTCTTTGTTCGATGGTCAGCCAAAAGCCGCCGCTGTGAGGATTGCCGGAGTTCGCATGATGCTGGTTTATGCTCCTTGACGAGATTAGCGAGGTATTGTGGTTCATTTGTGGCGAGCACTTTGTGTGTAATCAGTGTGACCTCATCATGTATTCGTTTGGCACCCGGAAGCCAATGCATGGTCAGATTTTGTACACGCTGTAGCTTGGTAATGTTTTTGCCGGACGTCCCGTAGATTAGTCAGTTGCAATATGCCGTCTGTTAAAGGCTGCATGGAGGAAATAAAACTAAACTATTTTTGTTTTATCAGGTAAGGCCCACTGAGCTATATAGGTATTTTTCAGAGGCGACCTGGCCACAAATGATAGCCCAACGAAGTGGCTTATCACTTGGAAATGTACAGCAGCCAAATGCTGCAAACGCACACGTTCATTCTGAAAGTGGAGGGAAAAACCGGAGGACCCGGAGAAAAATCCACGTGACCTCAGGCAGAGAGAAAGAGAGACAAACACCAAATCCAAATATACAGCAGCAGGCATCAGGGTCGGGATCGAACCAACGACATCCTACATACCGGCCGAGGTAGTTAACATCTCGGTCATTGCATATGCGCAGCATGTGTGAGAAAACGCTTGCCTTCTCATCTCTCTGTTCCTTGTTGCACCCCCCCATCCTCCCCCTCCCTGCCCCCTCCTCCCCTCCATCCTCCTCCATCCTCTCTCCCCCCCCTCTCCCCAGTATGGTGACGGTTCTGTTGGAGGAGTGGCGCATGTCCCTCCAGGGTGGGACGTGTGGAATGGCCTGGTGAGTGTCGGCACGTTAACACGCGCGTTAACACGCACGTTAATACGCATGTTAACACGCACGTTAACACGCGCGTGTTAACACATACATTGACACGCACGTTAACAACAACAACAACCGCCATTCGCCACTAAGTGGCGGTGACGTCACCACGACGCCTGTGCCAGGACATGTGCACCTTGAGGCCACGTGGGGCGTCGAACGCCCGCTGACAGGAGGTCACGGGGCAGACCCAGGTGCCACGGGTCGACTGACTGAGATGACTGCCTGATGCACCACCTGTGCCCCCTACTGTGCCAACCTGCTGTGCTTTAGCCACCCGGCGCTCTGCTCGTTGTTGTAAGCATCGCTCCTCCGCCCTCCGTTGTTGCTGGAGGGCGACTACCTCCAACTGCCCAGTAGCGTCCTTCACGAGCCTCCTCCACAGAGGCCGATCTTGACACCGCTGGTACCGGTCATCGGCAAGTCCACTCAGCTCCACGTCCTCCTGTACCACATCACGCACGTTAACACACGCGTTACCATCCACGTGCATTCCTTAATGGTCTCTGCCTCGCCCACCATCCTACGGCAGTTTGCGCAGCTTAACGCCATGGCAAAAAAGGTGAAGATTCCTCGAATAGCGTCAGCAGAGACTCGGGGCAAGTGCTGAAGGCCGGCACGGCACACGAGGGGGCGGGTGGCCAGAATCACGTCCAGCAGCTTTTGTCTCCCCAGGGGCGATGTTTACACTGTACTCATTTTACGTTGAGTCGACCTAGGGGAGGCCCAGGACTGGTTCAGATAATCGTCACCGATTGTTGACCGGAAGCGGGAACTGAACTCGGGTCGCCGGGTTCACAGCGCAGCACACGAGTACCACTACACTCCTGCATACCACGCGAGGTAGTGAACATCGCCTCGCCATCGTGGCGTGTACAGTGAGGGAAAAATGTATTTGATCCCCTGCTGATTTTGTACGTTTGGCCACTGACAAAGAAATGATCGGTCTATATTTTTAATGGTAGGTTTATTTGAACAGTGAGAGACAGAATAACAACAACAAATCCAGAAAAACGCATGTAAAAAATGTTATAAATTGATTTGCATTTTAATGAGGGAAATAAGTATTTGACCCCTCTGCAAAACATGACTTAGTACTTGGTGGCAAAACCCTTGTTGGCAATCACAGAGGTCAGACGTTTCTTGTAGTTGGCCACCAGGTTTGCACACATCTCAGGAGGGATTTTGTCCCACTCCTCTTTGCAGATCTTCTCCAAGTCTTTAAGGTTTCGAGGCTGACGTTTAGCAACTCGAACCTTCAGCTCCCTCCACAGATTTTCTATGGGATTAAGGTCTGGAGACTGGTTAGGCCACTCCAGGACCTTAATCTGCTTCTTCTTGAGCCACTCCTTTGTTGCCTTGGCCATGTGTTTTGGGTCATTGTCATGCTGGAATACCCATCCACGACCCATTTTTAATGCCCTGGCTGAGGGAAGGAGGTTCTCACCCAAGATTTTATGGTACATGGCCCCGTCCATCGTCCCTTTGATGCGTTGAAGTTGTCCTGTCCCCTTAGCAGAAAAACACCCCCAAAGCATAATGTTTCCACCTCCATGTTTGACGGTGGCGATGGTGTTCTTGGAATCATAGGCAGCATTCCTCCTCCTCCAAACACGGCGAGTTGAGTTGATGCCAAAGAGCTCCATTTTGGTCTCATCTGACCACAACACTTTCACCCAGTTGTCCTCTGAATCATTCAGATGTTCATTGGCAAACTTCAGACGGGCATGTATATGTGCTTTCTTGAGCAGGGAGACCTTGCGAACGCTGCAGAATTTCAGTCCTTCACGGCGTAGTGTGTTACCAATTGTTTTCTTGGTGACTATGGTCCCAGCTGCCTTGATATCATTGACAAGATCCTCCCGTGTAGTTCTGGGCTGATTCTTCACCGTTCTCATGATCATTGCAACTCCACGAGGTGAGATCTTGCATAGAGCCCCATGCCGAGGGAGATTGACAGATCTTTTGTGTTTCTTCCATTTGCGAATAATCGCACCAACTGTTGTCACCTTCTCACCAAGCTGCTTGGCAATGGTCTTGTAGCCCATTCCAGCCTTGTGTAGGCCTACAATCTTGTCCCTGACATCCTTGGAGAGCTCTTTGGTCTTGGCCATGGTGGAGAGTTTGGAACCTGATTGATTGATTGCTTCTGTGGACAGGTGTCTTTTATACAGGTAACAAGCTGAGATTAGGAGCACTCCCTTTAAGAGTGTGCTCTTAATCTCAGCTCGTTACCTGTATAAAAGACACCTGGGAGCCATAAATCTTTCTGATTGAGAGGGGGTCAAATACTTATTTCCCTCACTAAAATGCAAATCAATTTTTGACATGCGTTTTTCTGGATTTGTTGTTGTTTTTCTGTCTCTCACTGTTCAAATAAACCTACCATTAAAATTATAGACTGATCATTTATTTGTCAGTGGGCAAACGTACACAATCAGCAGGGGATCAATACTTTTTTCCCTCACTGTAAAAAGGTTTTAGTTTTGTTGCCAGAAAAAAATAAAAAATGGGAAAAACCCTATTATTACATTTTGGTACTGGCAAAGGAGGTCTAATGATGATTTTTTTTTTGTTATTTGACCAGTTGAGACCCCACTGAGGTCTACAGCTCTTTCTCAGAAGCGAACCTGATCATTTATTTGTCAGTGGGCAAACGTACAAAATCAGCAGGAGATCAAATACTTTTTTCCCTCACTGTAGCTCTCTTACTTGGTTCACGCTCTGGACACAATCTTCTCCGCCACTGTAACTGGCGGACAGACGGAGCTTCCCGTGTCTCTACATGCCTCTCTGTTAACCTGTTCAACCAGACACGGTCTCACTTTGGGCGATTGATAGGCACGACAGTCGGAGCATTTTTTTTTCATACCCAAACGGCACGTGCTCTCGTTCGCACAGTTGGCTACGTACGGTACGAAACAAGTGCAACCACATACAGCGTACATGCTGCTACATTCCGTGTGGGGGGGGCAGCCTCGCGGCTTTGTGTTTCCACGCCGCATCTCTGTGATCTCGTTGATTCCGGCGCGAACTAACGAGCCAACTCGTGAACTCACGAATTGGCAAACGGAGTAAGGAACTAACGCACTAACCGGCGAGCGAGCAAACTCGCCGCCAGCCACGAGTTTGCAGGAGCCCAGGGCAGCGTTGTTTGGCGCCAGCACGCACAAGAGGACGTGGGGCCCAGGACATCGTGGCGGGTCTCTCTCTGCTACTCTTACTTCGCTCTGTCCCCGATGGTCTCGTTTTGGCAGGGGGGGGGGGGTTGGAGAGGGTGGTGCCCAGGGCCACATTCTGGGATTAACACCATTACAGTGTTCCGTCGTTACGCACAAACTTGCTCCATCCGCGATTTTGACTATCCGCGAATCGCGTCTGGAACGCGACACGACTTCTGGCTGCATCGATATTCGTAGATCCAACAATACCGTTACCCACTAAATTCATCTATACACGAGCATCTCCGGAACGTAATCCCCTCGTCGCGAATATCGAGTGAACGCACGTGACGCCGTGACGCCCGTGACGCCGTGACGCCCGTGACGCCCGTGACCCACGTGACGCACGTGACCCCGTGACGCCGTGACGCACGTGACCCCGTGACGCACATGACGCACGTGACGCCGTGACGCACGTGACGCACGTGACGCACGTGACGCACGTGACCCCGTGACGCCGTGACGCCCGTGACGCACGTGACGCACGTGACGCCCGTGACGCCCGTGACGCCCGTGACGCACGAGACGCACGTGACGCACGTGACGCACGTGACGCACGTGACGCACGTGACCCACGTGACGCACGTGACGCACGTGACGCACGTGACGCCGTGACACACGTGACGCACGTGACGCCGAGACGCACGTGACGCACGTGACGCCGTGACGCACGTGACGCACGTGACCCACGTGACGCACGTGACGCCCGTGACGCACGTGACGCACGTGACGCACGTGACCCCGTGACGCACGTGACGCCCGTGACGCACGTGACGCACGTGACGCCCGTGACGCACGTGACGCACGTGACGCCCGTGACGCACGTGACGCACGTGACGCACGTGGCGCACGTGACGCCGTGACGCACGTGACGCACGTGACGCCGTGACGCACGTGACGCACGTGACGCTCGTGACGCACGTGACGCTCGTGACGCACGTGACGCACGTGACGTACGTGACGCACGTGACGCACGTGACGCACGTGACGCACGTGACGCACGTGACGCACGTGACGCACGTGACGCACGTGACGCACGTGACGCACGTGACGCACGTGACGCACGTGACGCACGTGACGCACGTGACGCACGTGACGCACGTGACGCCCGTGACGCACGTGACTCACGTGACGCACGTGACGCACGTGACGCACGTGACGCACGTGACGCACGTGACGCACGTGACGCACGTGACTCACGTGACGCACGAGACGCACGTGACGCACGTGACGCCCGTGACGCACGTGACGCACGTGACGCACGTGACGCCCGTGACGCACGTGACGCACGTGACGCACGTGACGCCCGTGACGCACGTGACGCACGTGACGCACGTGACGCCCGTGACGCCCGTGACGCCCGTGACGCACGTGACTCACGTGACGCACGTGACGCACGAGACGCACGTGACGCACGTGACGCACGTGACGCACGTGACGCACGTGACGCACGTGACGCCCGTGACGCACGTGACTCACGTGACGCACGTGACGCACGAGACGCACGTGACGCACGTGACGCACGTGACGCACGTGACGCACGTGACGCACGTGACGCACAAGACGCACGTGACGCCCGTGACGCACGTGACGCTCGTGACGCTCGTGACGCACGTGACGCACGTGACGCCCGTGACGCACGTGACGCACGTGACGCACGTGACATACGTGACGCATGTGACACCGTGACCCACGTGACGCACGTGACGTACGTGACGCATGTGACACCGTGACCCACGTGACGCACGTGACGCTCGTGACGCACGTGACCCACGTGACGCCCGTGACGCCGATCTTATTTCCCGTCCGCAGGTGCAAAACTCCAAGTACTACAACTACACGCTGTCTGTCAACGGCAAGCTGGAGGAGCACGGAACGGACTACAGCAAGGACTACCTGACGGACCTCATTGTAAGACTCGGCGCCGCACGCGTCCGCTGCGACCGTGGTGGTTTTGCGATTGGGCACGCACGGGCGGCCGTTGTGTATGTGAATTGGGGATCTATAAACGCGATCGATCGATCGATCGATGGGAACGCGTCATTATTTGCAAGGCGCTTCTCTGAAACCGCGGCACCTCTGCGTGCGCGATCGTTCTCCCGTGAAAACATCCGAGCCATGAAATGTAAATATGTTGACGCATTGGAGTTGTTCCTGTTGTTGTTGTTGATGGTGTTGGTTCAATCCAGACCCTGACGCCTGTTGTAAATTTGTAGTTTGCTCTCCTCCTCTCTCTCTCTTTCCCCGTTGTCGTGTTGATTTTTTCTCTGGATCCTCCAGTTTTTCTCTCCACATTTAGAATCAACGTGCATTTAGAGTGTCTGGCTGCTATAAATGTACACGTGATAAGCCACTCCGTTGAGCCATCATTTGTGGCAGCCAGCTCGCTTCTGCATTCCGTTGCACGGCAGGCGAACCGCTCCCTGCACTTCCTGGACGCCTGGAACCGCCGCACCGCGCCGTTCTTCATGATGCTGTCGACGCCGGCCCCCCACTCTCCCTGGGACGCGGCCCCCCAGTTCCAAAACAGCTTCGTCGGAACCAAGGCCCCCCGCGACGCCAGCTTCAACGTGCACGGCAAGGTGCGGGGGGGGGGGGGGGGGGGCGGGCGATGGCGAGGGGGGAGCGGATGCCGAGCCGGCACCGCCAGTCACAGAAGCTGGGTTCGAATCCGGGGTATCTGGCCGCCGGTTGATGAAGCTGACATCTGTCAATTGCGGCGGGCAGATTGGTCTCGGCCGGCCCACCCACCCCCCGAAAATAACAATTAAACAGTGGCCCTCCGTGGCCCTCCATGGCCCTCCGTGGCCCTCCGTGGCCCTCCGTGGACCGCCGCCGAGCCGGCGTTTTGACGTCGGTCATCGCCCGCCGGTCCGTTGCGATGTCAGAGCGCGAGAGGGTTTATCGGCGAGCCGCAGCGCCCGCGTGGAGCTCGGGCAGTGCTGGTCGGGACCTCGCTTCTCAGGCCTGAGAAGCGAATTCACCGAACTCGCTTCTTGCAGCGAATTCGGTGAATTTGATCATTTGGTGTTGGTTTTTATCGTGCTGCCGTGTCCTCGCGTTGAGTTTAAAGACTTGTTGTCGTTGCCGAGGGTCTGCTGCTGTGTCCTGCAGCTTTATCATTATAATTTTGATGACGGTTATTGTACGTGTGATGAACTTCTTTCGTGCCATACATTGCCAACCGTGCTTATCGGAGATGCAGGGGAAGGACAACGAACTATTTACCCCGGCAGGCACGCCGCAGCTTCCATCCCGCGAGCTAAAAACGTCCGCAGACAAAGGTAGACAAAGGCAGGCTAATGCACGTTTGGAGCTTTCGGTGGTCCTGACAAACCCCAGCGCAACAGAAATGCCACATAGTTCTCGTGCTTTGCTAAAAACTCTTCAAGCACCTCTGGCAAAGTGTTAGACATAGCACGTGGGTGTGTGGGTGTGTGGGTGTGTGGGTGTGTGGGTGTGTTGGTGTGTTGGTGTGTGGGTGTGTTCGTGTGTGGGTGTGTGGGTGTGTGGGTGTGTTGGTGTGTGGGTGTGTGGGTGTGTGGGTGTGTGGGTGTGTTGGTGTGTGGGTGTGTGGGTGTGTGGGTGTGTGGGTGTGTTGGTCTGTGGGTGTGTTGGTGTGTTGGTGTGTTGGTGTGTGGGTGTGTGGGTGTGTGGGTGTGGGGGTGTGTTGGTGTGTTGGTGTCTGGGTGTGTGGGTGTGTGGGTGTGTGGGTGTGTGTGGGTGTGTGGGTGTGTGGGTGTGTTGGTGTGTGGGTGTGTGGGTGTGTGGGTGGGTAAACATCGTCACTGGGGAGACAAAGGGTGTGGTGCTGGCCACCCAACCCCTCGTGCGACGCGCGAGCAGCACTCGTCCCAAAAAAGTCTGTTCAAAGCTGCGCTGAGAGTCTTTGTTTTGTAGGTGCGGGTGCGGGGGGAGCGGTGGTGCGGTGGTTCGCACTCTGTGCTACAAACCTGGCAAAGACCCCATTTCGGTTCCCACTCACGGCTAACACCAGTGACGATTATCTGAATCGGTCCTGGGCCTCCGCTCAGTCGACTCGGCCTCAAATGAGTACCTGGTGCGGTGTGCAAACATCGCCACTCGGGAGACAAAGGCGGCCGGGCGTGGTGCTGGCCACCCACCCCCTCGTGTGCCGTGCCGGTCTTCATAGATGCTACTCTCTAACAGGACTTGTCCCAACAGTCTGTTAAGGCTTTGTCTTTGCATGACTTTTTCCGAACTTGTCTAATTCCAGGACAAGCACTGGCTGATCCAGCAAGCCAAAACGCCCATGTCCAATGACTCCGTCAACTTCCTGGACAACGCCTTCAGGAAGAGGTAGGTGGTTGCGTTTAGCGTTCCTCGTCTGCCTGGGAAAGTGCTCTAGCGTCTATTGTGGCCTGAGAATGGATGATGCCTGAGACCCTGGGGGCAGAGAATGAAATGTGCTCCTTTGGACCGTGGGCCCAAGTGTGGAATCTGCACCGCGGTGGTTAGGAGATGTTAACTACCTCGCCTGGTGTGGAGGAGGTCGTGGGTTCGATCCCGACCCTGACGCCTGCTACTGCTGTATACTTGGAGTTTGCGTGTCTCCCTCTCTCTCATCAACATCATCACGGTGGCTAGGAGATGTTAACTACGTCGCCTGGTTGCAGGAGGTCGTGGGTTCCATCCCGACCCTGACGCCTGCTGCTGCTGTATATTTGGAGTTTGCGGTGTCTCTCTCTCTCATCAACATCATCACGGTGGCTAGGAGATGTTAACTACCTCGCCTGGTGTGGAGGAGGTCGTGGGTTCGATCCCGATCCTGACGCCTGCTGCTATATATTTGGAGTTTGCGTCTCTCTCTCTCCCCATGGTCGCGTGGATTTTTCTCCGGGTCCTCCGGTTTTTCCCCTCCACGTTTAGAATCGAACCAAGTGCAGTATTTGGCTGCTATAAATTTCCACGTAATGATGATAAAGGCATTTCGTTGAACTGTCATTTGTGATGGCCAGGTCGCCTTCAAAGTAAGAGCTACACAGCTCAGTGGGCCTTACCTGGTAAAATAAAAAATAGTTTGGCTTTAGTATTTTGTGTTTTTTTACGAGGTAATATTGTTAAAATGTATGTATTATTTGACAGTATGTATAATGATCATGTCTGGTATAAACGTTGCTGCCGCTGCTTTTGACCTCTGGCCGAGTCACCACTGTGCTGTGATCAGACCCGAAAACCAGAAGGTTCCGGTTCAAATCACGCTTGGGAGAGTGGGGAGCAGGCAGGTAATCTCAAATCACAATCTCCTCCCGGGGGGGGGGGGGGGGGTCAAGAAAACGAGCCCCATACTCTTTGGTTCTTTCGGTAAAGTCACGTAGTTATAAAATAAAATTAATCACGACGTTTCGATCGCAACACAAGCAATCGTCATCAGGTGGGAAACCACAGCAAGAAAAAACTAATTTTGCTGGAGGTTTTTTTTTTTCTTGCTGTGGTTTCCCACCTGATGACAAATGCTTGTGTTGCGATCGAAACGTCGTGACTCATTTTATTTTCTACCCACGCGACTTTACCGAAAGAACCAAAGAGTATGGATTCCTGCAGTCACGAAAGCTTCAAATCAACGATTTAACGAGTCCCCACTTTGTCCGGGAAGCCGTCAGCGGTCGTCGTGGTGGAGAGACCGGTCCCCTACCGGAGGAACGTCGAATTCCCAGGGCCGCTCTCGGACAAAACTGTCGGCCCGAAAGCAGGGGCGCGCGCGCACGGTCCTGAGGACGCCCCACGGTGGAGATGGAGCGACGGAGGTTTCGCCCGGAGCAGCGCAGGACGAGGACAAATAAATGGGGAGGGCGTCGCAAGGCGGCGTTGGCCTTGATTCCGCGGTCGATTGACCTCGGCTGACGACGAAGCGGGAGAGCAAAATGTAACAGCGGCGATGGTTTTTCGTCGCGTGCAAGGCTATCCGCGGGGCGGGCGGGCGGGCGGGCCGAGACCAATCGGCCCGCCGCGATCGAGAGATGTCGGCTCAATCCCCGGCGGCCGGGCACCCGGATTCGAACCCAGCCTCTGTGACCGGCGGTGCCGCTCCCCTCTAATCTCGCCGTGCCGCACGAGCGCAGGTGGCAGACCCTGCTGTCTGTCGATGACCTCGTGGAGCGGCTCGTGAAGAAGCTGTCGTCGCTCAACGTCCTCAACTCCACGTACATCTTCTTCTCCTCTGACAACGGCTACCACTCAGGTGGGGGCGGTCACTCACGTGGGAAGGGTCACTCAGGTGGAGGGGGTCACTCAGGTCACTCAGGTCACTCAGCTCACTCAGGTGGGGGGGGGGTCACTGGTGGGGGGGGTCACTCAGGTGGAGGGGGTCACTCAGGTTGGAAGGGTCACTCAGGTAGGGGGAGGGTCACTCAGGTGGGGGGGGGGGTCACTCAGGTGGGGAGAGGTCACTCAGGTGGGGAGGGGTCACTCAGGTGGGGGGGGGGTCACTCAGGTGGGGGGGGGGGGGTCACTGGTGGAGGGGGTCACTCAGGTGGAGGGGGTCACTCAGGTTGGAAGGGTCACTCAGGTGGGGGGGGGGGTCACTCAGGTGGGGAGTGGTCACTCACGGGGGCCCCCCCTCCCCCCCTCACTTGTCTCCGAAAAATGAAATGCGCCGGCTAAGCTGTCGATGAAGAAGGCCCAGAGCCCTTACATCTCCTGCTCAAGCCGCTGCTGCCCATGAAGGCCTCCGCTATGGAGAGCTTCAGAGCAGCGGTGGTTCTCAGCCCGGGGCTACGCAGACCCCCCTGGGGGTATGTGGAGATGTCCCCAGGAGGTTATTTATAAATGTGACATTTATATCGTACGTGAGAGTCGTTGGTGAATAATCACGTGTGTAAATCTGCCAATATCAAATAACTACGATCAAATGCAAATCCATATGGTAGCCTAGAACGATATTAGAGACTTTTCGATTTAAAGCTTTCGTGACTGCAAGGATTAATCTTCTTTGGTTCTTTCGGTAAAGTCACGTAGAATGAGAATAAAATAATAAAATAAAACAATAAAATTCTCACAACGTTTCGGCCACAACACAAGTAGCCGTCAAATTTCGATTTAAAGCTTTCGTGACTGCAATGATTCATCTTCTTTGGTTCTTTCGGTAAAGTCACGTAGAATGATAATAAAATAATAAATTGATAAAATAAAATAACACAATAATATTCTCACGACGTTTCGGCCACAACACAAGCGGCCTTCATCAGGTGAAGGGGGCGAGACTGTCGTCCTCAAGTGAAGAAACAGGACTGTCCAGAAGACAGCGCTTGAGTGAACCCTGTCAAGCTTGACAGCGTCTATTCCTCACACATCTTAAAAGACGCTGTCAAGCTTGACAGGGTTCACTCAAGCGCTGTCTTCTGGACAGTCCTGTTTCTTCACCTGAGGATGGCTACTTGTGTTGTGGCCGAAACGTCGTGAGAATTATATTGTTTTATTTTATTATTTTATTCACATTCTACGTGACTTTACCGAAAGAACCAAAGAAGATATTAGAGACCTTTCTAAAGTCATCGATCGTTCACACTGTTGTTTCCGAGAGTAACCAGCGAGCGCGAACGAATGACGTCACGCGCGCAGAGCGTCCGTTGAATTTGTTTTTATTAGCTAGCAGTTACTTAGCTCGTTGCTGGAGTGGCACCCATGCTATTGTGATCGACTAACCACCCTCCCCCCGCCCACCACCCCCCCAGGGCAATTCTCGCTGCCCAACGACAAGCGGCAGCTGTACGAGTTTGACATCCGCGTGCCCATGCTTGTGCGCGGGCCGGGAATCAAGGCCAAGCAGATCCTGCGGGTGAGCGCCGCTCGGGGTCAAAAGGTCGAAGCAAAGTTCCGAATCGCTCGGGGGGGGGGGGGGGGCGGGGGCGGTGTGCTCATTGCTGCGTCATTTTTACAGCACCGAGCCACTGGCGGATATCCCACATTCTTGTGGCAGGGGTGAGCGGGACAAAACTCACCGTAAACAAAATTAGAAACGACCTGGTCACAAATGATAGCTCAACGAGAAGTGGCTTATCACGTGTAAATGTATAGCAGCCAAATACTCTCAAATGCGTGATGTTGATTCTAAATGTGGAGGGAACAACGGGAAGACCCGGAGAGAAATCCACGCGACCACGGTGAAAGAGACACGCAAACTCTAAATATGCAGCAGGTGTCAGGGTCTGGATCGAACCTACGCGCTCCTACATAGAAGGCGAGGTAGTTAACATCTCACCACCGCGGCACCTCCAGAGGATAAGCCACTCTTGGCTTTCTCCACAAGGTGGTGCTTATTCTAACCGACCCCCTGGAGGGATAATGATGATAAGCATGATGATGATGAGCTATGGCAGGGGCGAGAATGTATTTATGTGCGTATGTTGAACTTCTTTCTCACCGTACGTAACCAACCTTGCTAATCGGAGGCGCGGGGGAAGGACAACAAACTACACGTAAAAAACTAAAAGTTGGTCCTCATTTTATCGACACTGTGGAGGGCTGATGGGCTAAATCAATGGCCAACCAGGATTTAAACCTCGCAGCCCTCCCTCCGATTGCGAGCCACTACTGGCCTGGTTATTACCGCTGAGCCACTTGGCCCGGTTGTCCCCACGCAGGTAGTCCCCAACGCAGGTAGTCTCCCTATGCAGGTAGTCCCCTACGCAGGTAGTCTCCCTATGCAGGTAGTCCCCTACGCAGGTAGTCCCCCTATGCAAGTAGTCCCCTACGCAAGTAGTCCCCTACGCAAGTAGTCTCCCTACGCAGGTAGTCTCCCTACGCAAGTAGTCCCCTACGCAAGTAGTCCCCCTACGCAAGTAGTCTCCCTACGCAAGTAGTCTCCCTACGCAGGTAGTCCCCCTATGCAAGTAGTCCCCTACGCAAGTAGTCCCCTACGCAGGTAGTCTCCCTACGCAAGTAGTCTCCTATGCAAGTAGTCCCCTACGCAGGTAGTCTCCTACGCAAGTAGTCCCCTACGCAAGTAGTCCCCTACGCAAGTAGTCCCCTACGCAGGTAGTCTCCTACGCAAGTAGTCCCCTACGCAAGTAGTCCCCTACGCAAGTAGTCCCCTACGCAGGTAGTCTCCTACGCAAGTAGTCTCCCTACGCAAGTAGTCCCCTACGCAAGTAGTCCCCCTACGCAAGTAGTCCCCTACGCAAGTAGTCCCCTTACGCAGGTAGTCCCCTACGTAAGTAGTCCCCTACGCAGGTAGTCCCCTACGTAAGTAGTCCCCTACGCAGGTAGTCCCCTACGCAGGTAGTCCCCTACGCAAGTAGACCCCTGCGCAAGTAGTCCCCTACGCAAGTAGTCCCCTACTCAAGTAGTCTCCCTACGCAAGTAGTCTCCCTACGCAAGTAGTCTCCCTACGCAAGTAGTCCCCTACGCAAGTAGTCCCCTACGCAAGTAGTCCCCTACGCAAGTAGTCTCCCTACGCAGGTAGTCTCCCTACGCAAGTAGTCCCCTATGCAAGTAGTCCCCTACGCAAGTAGTCTCCCTGCGCAAGTAGTCCCCTACGCAAGTAGTCCCCTACGCAAGTAGTCCCCTACGCAAGTAGTCTCCCTACGCAGGTAGTCTCCCTACGCAAGTAGTCCCCTACACAAGTAGTCCCCTACGCAAGTAGTCCCCTACGCAAGTAGTCTCCCTACGCAGGTAGTCTCCCTACGCAAGTAGTCCCCTACGCAAGTAGTCCCCTACGCAAGTAGTCCCCCTGCGCAAGTAGTCCCCTACGCAAGTAGTCCCCTACGCAGGTAGTCTCCCTACGCAAGTAGTCCCCTACGCAGGTAGTCCCCTACGCAAGTAGTCCCCTACGCAGGTAGTCCCCTACGCAAGTAGTCCCCTACGCAGGTAGTCCCCTACGCAGGTAGTCTCCCTACGCACGTAGTCCCCTACGCAGGTAGTCCCCTACGCAGGTAGTCCCCTACGCAAGTAGTCCCCTACGCAGGTAGTCCCCTACGCAAGTAGTCCCCTACGCAGGTAGTCCCCTACGCAGGTAGTCTCCCTACGCACGTAGTCCCCTACGCAGGTAGTCCCCTACGCAAGTAGTCCCCCTACGCAGGTAGTCCCCTACGCAAGTAGTCCCCCTACGCAGGTAGTCCCCTACGCAAGTAGTCCCCTACGCAAGTAGTCCCCTTACATACGTAAAAAAAACCTGTTGAGCCCAAACTGGGGATCTTTGTCTTTGTGTGAGCGGTGGTGCAGCGAACTGCGCTTTGAACCCGGCAACGCGCGTACGCGGCGGCGAATATTTGAACCGGTCCTGGGCCCTCCCCTAGGTTCACCCGGCGTTAAATGAGCGCCTCGGTGTGCCTTGCATGGTGGAGATATATATATTTTTTTTAAAAATACTTCCGTGTTTACAGTTTCAGTTGAAACCTGACCGAACTCTGGGTTGTGCGTCCGCAGGCTCCCGTGATGAACATTGACCTGGGGCCCACCTTCCTGGAGCTGGCCGGAGTGAACGTCTCCCAGACGCGGATGGACGGCACGTCCATGGTGCCGCTGCTGGTGAGCGTCGACGGGCGGACGGTGCGGGAACGCGGGAACGCGGACGGCGCACAGCCCAGTAAATAGTCTCGGTGGCTATGAGATGTTAACTACCTCGCCTGGTATGCAGGAGGTCGTGGGTTCGATCCCGACCCTGCTGTGTATTTGGAGTTTGCGTGTCTCCCTCTCTCTCACCATCATCACGGTGGCTATGAGATGTTAACTACCTCGCCTGGTGTACAGGAGGTCGTGGGTTCGATCCCGACCCTGCTGTATATTTGGAGTTTGCGTGTCTCCCTCTCTCTCATCATCATCACGGTGGCTATGAGATGTTAACTACCTCGCGTGGTATACAGGAGGTCGTGGGTTCGATCCCGACCCTGACGCCTGCTGCTGCTTTATATTTGGAGTCTGCGTGTGTCTCTCTCTCTCTCTCCCCGTGGTCGCGTGGATTATTGTCCGGGTCCTCCGGGTCTTTTTTCCTCCACATTTAAAAAAGTGCATTCAGACTATTTGACTGCTCTACATTGCCACGTGATGATGATGATGATAAGCCCAATTCGCTGAGCTCTCATTTGTGACAGCCAGGTCGCTTCTGAAAAAGAGCAACATAGCTCAGTGGGGCCTCACCTGGTAAAATATAAATAGTAAAAACAAAATAGTTTTAGTTTAAACGCCGGCGTTCCCTGCCGACCCAGGAAGTGTCATTTATCACCAAGGCGCTGTGATGTCCGTTGCGTCGTTCGTGCAAAACTGCGTCTCACGACGCTGTAGAAGACAGAATAAAGCAATAGAATCAAGCAAGGACATCGGCACCTGGCAATCAATTAAAGTGGTGAGGTCAACAAAGAAATGTTTTAAATTGGACTTAAATAGTGGAAGGGACTTAATTGCACATATATATTACGTCATAACAATACAATTATATCATTATTGTAAGTCAGGTTTCAAAACACTGCTCAATCATTATACGGTAATTATTGAATTTTCAATTTGTTCCGCACCTCCGATTGGCGCGGTTGGCTACGTACGGTGCGAACGAAGTTCAACGTACATACACACATTATACATGATAAATGTATCGTTATAATCACTGCTGAGTAGTAAATAGGCCTCAATCGTTGCACGGTCATCATTTCATTATGAAATCCATTGTAAGTTGTGAACGTATCGTTGCGAGCGCTGCTGCTGCTGCCGCTGCCGCTGCGCCTGCTGCCTGCTGCTGCTGCCTGCTGCTGCTGCCTGCTGCTGCTGCTGCTGCCTGCTGCTGCTGCCTGCTGCCTGCTGCTGCTGCCTGCTGCTGCTGCCGCTGCGGCTGCTGCGGCTGCTGCTGATACTGCTGTGGCTGCTGCTGCTGCCTGCTGCTGCCTGCTGCTGCCTGCTGCTGCTGCTGCTGCGTGCGAATTCTCTGCAGCACCCCGTGGACAAGGCGGCGGCACCGCCAGCGTGGCGCTCGGACTTCCTGGTGGAGTACCAAGGCGAGGGGCACGACGCCGACCCAGCCTGCCCCAAGCTGGGGCCAGGAGTCGCGGTAAACACCGACCCCCCAACTCCGCTACCACCACCACCAAACGTGGGGGGGAGCAGGGGGGGGTGTCGTGGTGCCGTGGGTGACGCGCCGCCGAGGGAGGTGCGGGGGGCCGGGCGTGGTGCCGGCCACCCGCACCTCCTCGTATGTCGTGGCCGGCCTTCGGAGGCGCTCGCTAACGGCGCTTGCCCCAAAAGTCTGTTGAGGATACACGGGGGGGGGGGGGGGGGGGGGGGGGGGGATGTCATCTACGTTTCTTAAAAACACCTTCGACTAAAGGCGACGGGGAAGACGACAGGTGATCGAACGTGGCCCTCGGCTGTGAGGTGTTAACTCCCTCGCCTGGTACGCAGGAGGTCGTGGGTTCGATCCCGACCCTGACGGCCTGCTGCTGCTGTATATTTGGAGTTTGCGTGTCTCTCTTCCCGTGGTCGCGTGGATTATTCTCCTCCGGCTACTCCGGTTTTCCCCTCCACATTCAGAAACAACATCACCACGCGAGTATTTGGCTGCTAATAATTTCCGCGTGCAAGGCCGCTTCGCTGAGCTATCATTTGTGATGGCCAGGTCGCTTCTGAAAAAGAGCTACATAGCTCAGCGGGGCCTCACCTGGTAAAACAAATTTCTCGTTGGGTTTAGTTTCATTCCCTCCATGTAGCCCTTTACGGACTGTTTATTGCAACTTTCGCTACTCTACGGGACGTCTGGCAAGCCAAAATAAAAGCAGCGTGTGTGTGTGTGTGCGCGTGTGCGCAACGCGTGCCGCCCTGCGTGCAGGAGTGCTTCCCCGACTGCGTGTGCGAGGATGCGTTCAACAACACGTACGCGTGCGTTCGCACGCTCTCCGGCACTGTGGACCTTCAGTACTGCGAGTTTGCCGACGCTCAGGTGTGCGGGGGGGGGGGGGGGGGGGGGGGGGGGGGTTAGGGTTTTTTTTATTTTCCAAACAGGGCGGTGACGCGGCACGGGGGCAGCCGTGGCCAACCGGCGTCCGCCCGCGCTTCGCTCTGTCGAGGGGGCCTAACGTAGAACGTGCCATCGCGGTGGCAAAAAAAGAATGAACGTGTCTTGTCCCGTGCCGAAAACTTTGACTGTGTATAAACACACACACACACATCTATATACACACTTGGCTACTTGCAGAATTCATGGGTGCTTGTCGGCTCTCAGGTCTGTTAGAGGTTGGCCACACCCCTTCCTGCCTTAGAGGCAGCATGCTTACTGCTCGCTTGTTCGCGGTTCAAGTCGGGGCAACGAGATGTTAACTACCTCGCTTGGCATACAGGAGGTCGTGGGTTCGATCCCGACCCTGACGCCTGCTGCTGCTGTATATTTGGAGTTTGCGTGTCTCTCTCTCCCCGTGGTCGCGTGGATTATTGTCCGGGTCTTCCGGTTTACCCCTCAACATCACGCGTTTAGAGTATTTGACTGCTATAAATATCCACATGATGATAAGCCACTTCGTTAAGCTACCATTTGTGGCCAGGTCGCTTCTGAATAAGAGCTACATAGCTCACTGGGCCCTACCTCGTTAAATAAAAAAAAAATAGTTTAGCTTCTACCGCCGGTGTGGGTTACCGTAATGAGAAAAACAAGAGTCTGAGAAAACTCTTAAAGTGGTTGGCAAATTGAGCCACACCGTGGCCAATTTGAGGAATTGGATGCAGCCGGGAGGAGTGATCCGATGAGAGAGCCGTTGAGCGATGTCGTGGACAAAGCTACGTTGAAGGAAGCCGAAGATCATGGACGTCTTTGAGCAACGAGCGGGAGAGTTTATGACCGTGGTCATCCCACACTACACGCCGTCCGCTTCACCCGCAGCAGACGTTAAAACATCCCCTGACGTAAATTCGCAAGGGCAGACCGTCGTCTGCTTGCGTCGGTCGGGGCTCAACTTTGCCAAATTTTGAAAAATGAACCCTCCCTTGCGGCGGTGTGGCGGTTAGCGCGCCGTGCCGCGCGCCGAGGCCGGCCACCCGTGTTCGATTCCCGCTCGCGGCCAACAACCAGCGACGATTGTCCGAACCTGGTCCTGGGCCACCCCACTAGGTCAGCCCGGCCTCAAACGAGTACCCGGTGCGGTGTGCAAACAAAATCACTCGGCAGATAAAGGCGGCCGGGCCTGCCGGTACCGGCCACCCACCCCCGTCGCGTGCCGCGGCGGCCTTCACGGTTTGCTCGTTGGCGGCGCTCGCCCCAGAAGTCTGCCGAGGCTCTACGGCGTGGCCTGGGATCTTTGTCCTCCGCAGGCCATGGTGGAGTTGTACAACGTGACCGCCGACGCGCACCAGCTGACCAACATCGTGAAGGCCGTGGACCCCAACCTGCTGGTCACCATGAACCAGCGCCTCATGGCGCTGCAGTCGTGCGTCGGCGCGGCGTGCCGCAAGCCGGCCAGCAAGGCCCTCGGCCCGGTGAGGGGGACGCTCCAGGATCGAGGCTCTGCCGCGAATGACGAGCCGCCATCACCATTTATTTATTTTCATCATTATTATCGGGGGGTTTTTTTTTTACCCATAGAAGTCCGATACAAAGCATGAACCGTGACGTAGGGGTGGAGGGGGGGTTATGGAAACTGCGCTCCAGACCTTCAGCAGCGAGGGGATTGTGTTCGCTGCCCCACCAAGTGTGGAAGTTTTCCTCTCTTCAAGCCTCGCCTCTTCTCCATGGCCCATTCTCTTCCCCTAACCCTCTCCCCTCCACTCGTTCCCGTCCCTCCCGTACCCTTTCGTGACCACCACAATACCCCTCTAGCGTTGTCACTCGTCTCTGTGTGTCTATGTTGTGTGTCTCTCTCTGTGTGTCTCTACGTTGTCTCTGTGTGTCTATGTTGTGTGTCTCTCTCTGTGTGTCTCTCTCTCTGTGTCTCTGCGTTGTCTCTGTGTGTCTCTGTTGTGTCTCTCTCTGTGTGTCTCTGCGTTGTCTCTGTGTGTCTATGTTGTGTGTCTCTCTCTGTGTGTCTCTGTGTGTCTATGTTGTGTGTCTCTCTCTGTGTGTCTCTGTGTTGTCTCTATGTGTCTATGTTGTGTGTCTCTCTGTGTGTCTCTGTGTTGTCTCTGTGTCTATGTTGTGTGTCTCTCTCTGTGTGTCTCTGTGTTGTCTCTATGTGTCTATGTTGTGTGTCTCTCTCTGTGTGTCTCTGCGTTGTCTCTGTGTGTCTATGTTGTGTGTGTTTCTCTGTGTGTCTCTGTGTGTCTCTGTGTTGTCTCTGTGTGTCTATGTTGTGTGTCTCTCTCTGTGTGTCTCTGCGTTGTCTCTGTGTCTATGTTGTGTGTCTCTCTCTGTGTCTCTGTGTTGTCTCTGTGTGTCTATGTTATCTGTCTCTGTTGTGTGTCTCTGTGTTGTCTCTGTGTGTCTATGTTGTGTGTCTCTCTCTGTGTGTCTCTCTCTGTGTGTCTTTGTGTTGTCTCTGTGTGTCTATGTTGTGTGTGTCTCTCTGTGTGTCTCTGTGTGTCTCTCTCTGTGTCTTTGCGTTGTCTCTGTGTGTCTATGTTGTGTGTCTCTCTCTGTGTGTCTCTGCGTTGTCTCTGTGTGTCTATGTTGTGTGTGTCTCTCTGTGTGTCTCTGTGTTGTCTCTGTGTGTCTATGTTGTGTGTCTCTCTCTGTGTGTCTCTGCGTTGTCTCTGTGTGTCTATGTTGTGTGTCTCTGCGTTGTCTCTGTGTTGTCTCTGTGTCTATGTTGTGTGTCTCTCTCTGTGTGTCTGTGTTGTCTCTGTGTGTCTATGTTGTGTCTCTCTGTGTGTCTCTGCGTGTCTATGTTGTGTGTCTCTGCGTTGTCTCTGTGTGTCTATGTTGTGTGTGCCTCTCTGTGTGTCTGTGTTGTCTCTGTGTGTCTATGTTGTGTGTCTCTCTGTGTGTCTGTGTGTCTATGTTGTGTCTCTTTCTCTGTGTGTCTCTGCGTTGTCTCTGTGTGTCTATGTTGTGTGTCTCTCTCTGTGTGTCTCTGTGTTGTCTCTGTGTGTCTATGTTGTGTGTCTCTATCTGTGTGTCTCTGTGTTTTTTCTGTGTGTCTATGTTGTGTGTGTCTCTCTGTATGTCTCTGTGTGTCTATGTTGTGTGTCTCTGTGTTGTCTCTGTGTGTCTATGTTGTGTGTCTCTCTCTGTGTGTCTCTGCGTTGTCCCTGTGTGTCTATGTTGTGTGTCTCTCTCTGTGTCTCTGCGTTATCTCTGTGTGTCTATGTTATGTGTCTCTCTCTGTGTGGCTCTGCGTTCTCTGTGTGTCCATGTTGTGTGTCTCTCTCTGTGTGTCTCTGTGTTGTCTCTGTGTGTTTATGTTGTGTGTCTCTGTGTTGTCTCTGTGTGTCTATGTTGTGTGTCTCTCTCTGTGTGTCTCTGCGTTGTCTCTGTGTGTCTATGTTGTGTGTCTCTCTCTGTGTTGTCTCTGTGTGTCTATGTTGTGTGTCTCTGTTGTGTCTCTCTCTGTGTGTCTCTGCGTTGTCTCTGTGTGTCTATGTTGTGTGTCTCTCTCTGTGTGTCTCTGCGTTCTCTGTGTGTCTATGTTGTGTGTCTCTCTCTCCGTGTGTCTCTGCGTTGTCTCTGTGTGTCTATGTTGTGTCTCTCTCTGTGTGTCTATGTGTTGTCTCTGTGTGTCTATGTTGTGTGTCTCTGTTGTGTGTCTCTCTCTGTGTGTCTCTGCGTTGTCTCTGTGTGTCTATGTTGTGTGTCTCTCTCTGCGGGTCTCTGTGTTGTCTCTCTGTGTGTCTCTGTGTTGTCTCTGTATGTCTATGCTGTGTCTCTGTGTTGTCTCTCTCTGCTTGTGTGTCTGCCTGTGTATCTCCGTGTCTGTGTTTTGTCTCTCTCTCAAATTTAGTTCCACCTGATGACGACTGCTTGAGTTGCACTTGAAACGTCGCATTCTATTATTTAATTTATTGTCTTTCTACGTGACTTTACCGAAACAACCAAAGAGTAATTCCTGCAGTCACGAAAGCTTCGAATCAAGTTTAAACATTTTTGCTTACCAGGTAAAGCCCACTGCTAGTGGTGGTGGTGGTGATGATAGAGAATTTGAAACCTGCTCAGTTGTCATTTGCTCTCAGAGCGAGAGAGACGGATTCAGAGGCGTGGGGAACCACAGACAGGGCCGACGCGGCATCCGGAATCGGCACCAGCAATTGCCCAAGCTCTGTGGGTCTATATTATTATTAAATGCTTTTGCTGATTCCGCTATAGACGTGGGAGGAGAAACCCCGCGTGTGCGTGGAGGACGAACGCGCTCAGTTCGCGTACAGATGGACATGAATCCACTTGCTGTACTCCCATCATAGCCTGGCGAGCCGCGAGATGGTGACCCTCGATGTGCACGGGTAGGGAGATTCGGAAATTTGTGTGATCCACCAACCCTCCGCCTCCAAAGTCCTCTTATCCACAAAATGACGGGTAACAGCTGTGTGTGTGTGTGCCAATGTGTGAATCGTAAGCTTTCCACGTGAGTCCGATGTTGGAGATTGCCACGGTGGCTATGAGATGTTAACTACCTCGCTTGGTATGCAGGAGGTCGTGGGTTTGATCCCGACCCTCACGCCTGCTGCTGCTGTATATTTGGAGTTTGCGTGTTTCTCTCCCCGTAGTTGCGTGGATGTTTCTCCGGGTTCTCCAGTGTTCCCCTCCACATTTAGCAACGCGCGTGTAGATTATTTGGTTGCTATACATTTCCACGCAGTAAGCCAATTTGTTGAGCTATCATTTGCGATAGTCAGGTCGCTTCCGAAAAAGAGCTAGCACATCGCTCGGTGGACCTTACCTGGTAAAATACAAAATAGTTTAGTGTAGTTGGAGTTAGTTTAAACTAGCTTTACTACCCGGCTTCGCCCGAGACTTGGATTCTTGTCTTGGATTAAAAGACGGCCTACGTGGAGGGTGGGGGGGGGGGGGTGCGTGACGTCAGCAGGCACACTGCGTGACGCTGCCGCATGCGGGTGACATCACAGATGTGACGTCACCGCTTACTTGCCGTGAAAAATATATCCATTAATGCGCCCCCCCCCCCCCCCCAAATACAAAAGTCAATTGTTATACTTCCTGCATTGTGTACAGTCTGGAAGCTACCCACATGCCAAATTTCAAGTTTGTTGCATGTCGGCAAGTATGCTAAACATTTTGAACGGACACACACATTCACAAATTTCCCTTTTATATATATGTAGTGCCGTGAATTCACTCGGACGACAACTGTCTCTTTTCCGCCGTCACTTTTATTCCATCATTCCGTACACACAGTAATTATCTTCGCGCTCCGCCAACTCGGACACTCCGATTTACTTCAGCATCGTCCGTGCATCCCCTTCCACACACAGTGTTCCTTCCTCTATCTCTCCACACACACTGTCTTCCCTTCCACACACAGTGGTTCGTCTTCTATCTCCTCGCACACAGTATCGCCGCTATCTCTTCACACGCAGTGACTTCCCTTCCACACACAGTGGTTCGTCTTCTATCTCCTCACACACAGTATCGCCGCTATCTCTTCACACACAGGGACTTCCATCTATTCACACACAGTGACTCTATCTATCTCCGCTAACGCTGACTCTCCCTATCGATATTTACTGTCTTTGGGGTCCGGCTCTCTTTCTATTCTTCCCTAACATTTCCAGCTGTCTTCTTCATATCTCTTCACCTCTCGCCAACAACTCCCCAGCAGCAACTCCCCAGCAGCAACTCCCCAGCAGCAACTCCCCAGCAGCAACTCCCCAGCAGCAACTCCCCAGCAGCAACTCCCCAGCAGCAACTCCCCAGCAGCAACTCCCCAGCAGCAACTCCCCAGCAGCAACTCCCCAGCAGCAACTCCCCAGCAGCAACTCCCCAGCAGCAACTCCCCAGCAGCAACTCCCCAGCAGCAACTCCCCAGCAGCAACTCTCCAGCAGCAACTCCCCAGCAGCAACTCCCCAGCAGCAACTCCCCAGCAGCAACTCCCCAGCAGCAACTCCCCAGCAGCAACTCCCCAACAGCAACTCCCCTCCGTTCAAACCACCTCGCGTTTTATCCCCTCTCGCATTAGCCTTAATTAATTGCCACGTGGCTCGCTAGCCGTTTCCCGCCAGCCTGCACCTGTCCCCTTCATCAGACATTCAGACGCCACCATTTAACGCTAACAGCCTATCGACCAATCACAGCCCTCGTGCCACGACACCCTTAATTACTTGGGTTTGTTTACTCGCGACTCGACCACCTGTTCGACCTCGTGTGACCCGTTCTCCTTGTCTGTCCTGTATGTACTGTATATGGCTAATTCCTATGCGCATTATCTACTCCACTACATCTATATAAGTGTGTATTATCTTATTTTAATTTACGTAGCACTGTGACCAAGGCGCTGAACAAAGAATTAGTTAAACGGCTACAAACTCATTTACCTTCATGTTATTGTTGATAATCTGTTTGTCGATGTCTGTTAATGTAACTTTCTATCAATGTCAATGTCGTGATGTCAATCACCATCTTCATCAGCCTCCAATGAACTCACCACTGCCTGCCTCTCACCTCACTCCACTCCCCTCCACTCACTCTCCTGCCTCTCATCTCACTCCACTCCCCTCCACGCACTCTCCTGCCTCTCATCTCACTCCACTCCCCTCCACGCACTCCCCTACCTCTCCCCTCTCATCTCACTCCACTCCCCTCCACGCACTCCCCTACCTCTCCCCTCTCATCTCACTCCACTCCCCTCCACGCACTCCCCTACCTCTCCCCTCTCATCTCACTCCACTCCCCTCCACGCACTCTCCTACCTCTCCCCTCTCATCTCACTCCACTCCACGCACTCTCCTACCTCTCATCTCACTCCACTCCCCTCCACGCACTCTCCTACCTCTCCCCTCTCATCTCACTCCACTCCCCTCCACGCACTCTCCTACCTCTCATCTCACTCCACTCCCCTCCACGCACTCTCCTACCTCTCATCTCACTCCCCTCCACTCCACGCACTCTCCTACCTCTCATCTCACTCCACTCCCCTCCACGCACTCTCCTACCTCTCATCTCACTCCCCTCCACTCCACGCACTCTCCTACCTCTCATCTCACTCCACTCCACTCCACGCACTCTCCTACCTCTCATCTCACTCCACTCCACTCCACGCACTCTCCTACCTCTCATCTCACTCCACTCCACTCCACGCACTCTCCTACCTCTCATCTCACTCCACTCCCCTCCACGCACTCTCCTACCTCTCATCTCACTCCACTCCACTCCACGCACTCTCCTACCTCTCATCTCACTCCACTCCACTCCACGCACTCTCCTACCTCTCATCTCACTCCACTCCCCTCCACGCACTCTCCTACCTCTCATCTCACTCCACTCCCCTCCACGCACTCTCCTACCTCTCATCTCACTCCACTCCACTCCACGCACTCTCCTACCTCTCATCTCACTCCACTCCACTCCACGCACTCTCCTGCCTCTCATCTCACTCCACTCCACTCCACGCACTCTCCTACCTCTCATCTCACTCCACTCCCCTCCACGCACTCTCCTGCCTCTCCCCTCTCATCTCACTCCACTCCCCTCCACGCACTCTCCTACCTCTCATCTCACTCCACTCCACTCCACGCACTCTCCTGCCTCTCATCTCACTCCACTCTCCTCCACGCACTCTCCTACCTCTCATCTCACTCCACTCCACTCCACGCACTCTCCTACCTCTCATCTCACTCCACTCCACTCCACGCACTCTCCTACCTCTCATCTCACTCCACTCCACTCCACGCACTCTCCTGCCTCTCCCCTCTCATCTCACTCCACTCCCCTCCACGCACTCTCCTACCTCTCATCTCACTCCACTCCACTCCACGCACTCTCCTACCTCTCATCTCACTCCACTCCCCTCCACGCACTCTCCTACCTCTCATCTCACTCCACTCCACTCCACGCACTCTCCTACCTCTCATCTCACTCCACTCCACTCCACGCACTCTCCTGCCTCTCCCCTCTCATCTCACTCCACTCCACTCCACGCACTCTCCTACCTCTCATCTCACTCCACTCCACTCCACGCACTCTCCTGCCTCTCCCCTCTCATCTCACTCCACTCCCCTCCACGCACTCTCCTACCTCTCATCTCACTCCACTCCACTCCACGCACTCTCCTACCTCTCATCTCACTCCCCTCCACTCCACGCACTCTCCTACCTCTCATCTCACTCCACTCCACTCCACGCACTCTCCTACCTCTCATCTCACTCCCCTCCACTCCACGCACTCTCCTACCTCTCATCTCACTCCCCTCCACTCCACGCACTCTCCTACCTCTCATCTCACTCCCCTCCACTCCACGCACTCTCCTACCTCTCATCTCACTCCCCTCCACTCCACGCACTCTCCTACCTCTCATCTCACTCCCCTCCACTCCACGCACTCTCCTACCTCTCATCTCACTCCACTCCCCTCCACGCACTCTCCTACCTCTCCCCTCTCATCTCACTCCACTCCCCTCCACGCACGCTCCTGCCTCTCATCTCACTCCACTCCCCTCCACGCACTCTCCTACCTCTCCCCTCTCATCTCACTCCCCTCCACGCACTCTCCTACCTCTCATCTCACTCTACTGCTCTCCACGCACTCTCCGCTCCCTCGACCAAGGCTCTCTGTCTAAGACCCCCAGTCAACATTCGCTCCGTGGGAGGTCGCTCGTTCTCCTCTGCTGCCCAATTAGCCTGCGATCTCCCTTAGCCCGCCGTCCATGCTGTCGGCACCCTGCCCCCCGTTAAACTCCAGGCAGCCTCAGTGGCTCTTGTTGTCTAGGACCGACTGCCGCTGTCTTGAAAAAAGCAAGATTCAATATTGCCCGCTGCTGCTGCTGCTGCTGCACAGCATCACGAGATGCGGTCGCATTTGAGACGCCGTATGAATCTCTGTTGTAACTGCGCTGTAATGTGTGTGTGTGTGTTTACTGTGCGTGTGTGCGCGTGTGTGCGTGTGCGTGTTTGCTGTGCGTGCGTGTGTTGGCGACAGCTGTAAACACCGAAGTCACCGCATCGTGGACGGACGGGAGGAGACGATCTACGTTTCTTAAACACCTTCGACTAAAGGCGACGGGGAAGACGACGAGTGAACGAACGTGTCCCTAGGCTATGAGATGTTAACTCCCTCGCCTGGTATGCAGGAGGTCGTGGGTTCGATCCCGACCCTGACGCCTGCTGCTGTATATTTGGAGTTTGCGCGTCTCTCTCTCTCATCAACATCATCACGGTGGCTATGAGATGTTAACTACCTCGCCTGATATGCAGGAGGTCGTGGGTTCGATCCCGACCCTCACGCCTGCTGCTGCTGTATATTTGGAGTTTGCGTGTTTCTCGCCCCGTAGTTGCGTGGATGTTTCTCCGGGTTCTCCAGTTTTCCCCTCCACAATTAGAATCAATATCAGACGTTCAGATTATTTGGCTGCTACTATAAATTCCCACGTGACGATGATGATGATGATCCTAAACCGCTTCGTTGAGCTATCATTTGTGATCGCCAGGTGGGCTCTGATAAAGAGCTACACAGCTCAGCGGGCCCTTACCCGCTAATTGAAAACGTTTAGTTTAGCAAAAAAGGGACCGATTACCGCCCGCGCCGTCCACAACCCGTGAACGTCGCCACGGCGGGAAGCAAGGGATTTTCTCGCACTTTTTGTCGAAACCAAGGTCGCTACCGTCGGAACGCGCGCCCGTGACGCACGGCGATCCGCAAAAGGGAACATGTCCCGTCTCCACACGCGCGAGGATTCGTGCGATGCGAGCCATTGCGCGCACCGCGCGTCCTGGGGTGTTGGCGGGGGTGAGGAAACATCTGCTGCCCGTAACGGAGATTCCTGCCAACGGCGCCATGAGGCTCCCATTAAAGCAACGCAGTGCTTTCAAATCCACACGCCCCCTTTTTAACGAGCACAGTTCATCCCAGAGGCACCGCGGTGGCCCGGGAGATGTTGACTCCTTCGCCTGGTGTACAGGAGGTCGTGGGGCACCGCGGTGGCCCGGGAGATGTTGACTCTTTCGCCTGGTGTACAGGAGGTCGTGGGTTTGATCCCGACCCTTGACGCCTGCTGCTGTATATTTTGAGTTTGCGTCTCTCTCTCTCTCATCATCATTACGGTGGCTAGGAGATGTTAACTACCTCGCCTGCTGTACACGAGGTCCGTGGATTTGATCCCAACCCTGACGCCTGCTGCTGCTGTATATTTGGAGTTTGCGGTATCTCTCTCCCCGTGGTCGCGTGGATTTTTCTCCGGGTCCTCCGGTTTTTTCCCCCCCTCCACATTTAGAATCGACATCAACGCGTTCAGAGTGTTTGGCTGCTGTACATCTCCACGTGACGGTCAGCCCACACTCCGTTGAGCTATCATTCGTGATAGCCAGGTCGCCTCTGAACACATTAGCTACATAGCGCCTCAATGGGCCCCGCCTGGTAAGAGCAAGCCATCCCCCGCTCGGCCGACACTGGGCTAGTTTGTGGGCTGCCATGGCAGTATTTACCTTTCCTTATCCAGTGCAGCCTAACCCTCGGCATCCGCCAAACCCTGGTTCATTCGTCTTGCCGTACGGCTGATGCAGATGCAGAGCAGCAACTGCAATGTCACATTCAGGTGCGTCAAGCCAGACACCCGCGCCAGGAGCGGCGGCGGCGGAGTGTACCATCATCGCCGCGATGTCTGCTTCCTATGCGCGGATCGGGAATTGCGTCGGTGTACGTTGCACGGTCTGTAACCACTGTTGATAACTGAAAGAATGTGGGATTGCTTACCTCCGGGGGTGTCGCGGCACAGGAGCGAGCTCACGGAGCTCACGTGGCTCTTGAAGCTTCGTTGCGAGAAACGAGCCGGCGCTGACCCTTTCAAAAACGTGGCCCGGCGCGCGGGGCTTGGCACGGGCCCTGCGGCGGTCGTGGAAACGCAGCGCCACCGACCGCCGAGCTCGCACGGACAATCCGGAGCCCCCGCCCGGAGCTCCTCGTGGTCACGTTTAATGAGGGTGCGGAAGACGCTTGGGAGAGCCGCGGTCATCAGCCGGACCTTGCAGGGTGACGGCGAGGGACGTCGGTCTCATGGTTTATTTTTGTTCAGCCGTGGGCCCAAAAATAGGATTATCGGTACTACCATATGTGGCGAATGCTCTCCGTGATTTTGTTGATGCATTTGATCCCTGAATTACAAATTTGTACGATGGCAAGACCATCGCGCGGTAGCTTCGTACGGGATAACTGCCGCTCAAAGAGCATGCCATGGTACGTTTGACGGAGAATATCGCAACGTTTTGGCCGAATGAGAAAAGAAATGAGACGGTATATATGCGAAGCTTTCTGCACGTGGTGGAAACTCACGGCATTTGCCACCGCACGCTGTTGGTACCGACCACCGAGACTCCCGTGGCTCACGGGGGCCAAACAAAAAAAAGGCTGCCCGTTGGCGGACGTTGCGCTACGTCGAGACTTCGACTCTCGCCAGCCCCAACCGCTCGGCGTCGTCGTCGTAGTCATCGTCGTCATCATCGTCGTCATTGTCATCATCGTCGCCGTCGTCATCATCGTCGCCGTCATCATCGCCATCATCGTAATCGTCGTCGTCGTCATCGTAGTCATCGTCGTCGTCATCATCGTCGCCGTCGTCATCGTCGTCATCATCGTCACCGTCATTGTCGTCGTCATCGTCTTCATCATCGTCGCCGTCGTCGTCATCGTCGCCGTCATCATCGTCGCCATCATTATCATCGCCATCATTATCATCATCACCGTCGCCGTCGTCACGCGTCCACTTGTGTGCAGCGCGTTCAACCGGCACGCGCTGCGCCCACTGCGAGCCTGATCCGGCTGCCGGTCGTGCTGGGGTTGAGTTGTTTTTGTATTTACTCGCGTGGAGATTTGCGTTTGACGGTTTTGACGGGGGGGGGGTGGGGCGAGGTGCGTTTCCGCAGATTTTTCCAATGGTAAAATGTGAATGTGTTGTCCATGACGCTGTGGTGCCTTACCTTGGGGGAGAGCGCGGTGCGTCAGGGACGACGCCCTTGGGGCGGTGGGGTGGGTTTAGGCGTCGATGGCACGCGCGCGGCGTTTTTGCGGAGATTGACCTCCGCTAATCGGCCAATCGGCTCCGACGGGCAAATAATAGCGACGGAATCCACCGCCTCCTAACTCTTACGCTCGGCGTGCGACGCTCCACCGGCGTTTCCTCTCGAAGGTTGGCGATGACTTTGTTGGGCCCTGGGTTCTTTTTGGCTCTCTCTCTCTCTCGCTCTTCTGCTGACGCGATTCATCTCGGCGGATCGATGTGAACGCGCGTGTCGGGCTGGGGGGGGGGGCTGGCTGGGTGGTCCACATGCCGCTAGCCCGGCGGTGGGCAACCTGCGGATTCCGGAGCCGCGTCTCGGCTCTTCAAGGGCTGCTTCGCGGCGTGATTTGTTGAGGAACCACCCAGTCACGAAATCTTTAAGTCAAGATTTAACCACCCCACCGCAACACAAGCGTTGCGCCCGAAACGTCGTGATTTATTTTTATTTTCTACCCACGTGACTTTACCGAAAGAACCAAAAAAGTATGGATTCCTGCAGTCACGAAAGCTTCAAAATCAAGGCAGAACGTCTTCATAGTGGAGGAATCCGATGAGCTATAAAGCTCTTTTTTCTTCCCCACCCCCCCACCCCCCCCCCCCCCCACGCATGTCCGTAGGTGGTTTATATCAGGCAGTCGCGTTGGGCGATTGGAGGATGGCACAGAGCAATAATCTCGCGACTTGACAATCCTCAGGCGAACCGAGACACATTTTGATTCTTGCAGGGCCCACACTGGCGATGAGACCTCTGCAGCCCTGGGGGCAGGGGCCAGAGTCTTCTTATTCTTGGTTCCTTCGGTAAAGTCACGTAGAAGAGAAACAATAAAATAATACTGGTAGGAATGAAGTTGTAAACTGAGTGTACCAGCCTGCAATAGATTAATGTGTCCGTCCGTCCGTCCCCTTTCAATACTTTAACGAAGTGAAATCTCGTGCTGTTGGGGTGTAAAAATAAAATTGCGCAAAATTCCAATGTTCCTACCAGCCCACCCTGCAGGGACCTGTTTTTAAAAAGCAGACCTTAAACACGGTAGGACCAACACCTCGGCCGTGGCAGATCACTGTTATAATTCAGTAGGCTCACATGACATTGACTTCTCCAAGACAGAGGTTCTTTGCAAGCCACCTGGCTACCATGAGAGATTCGCTCATGAGGCTATCCACATATACAAACACAGAAACAATTTCAACCGAGATGATGGATTCTGGCTTAGCAATCATTGGAAGAATTTGATAAACCATTTCGGGTTTTAATTGATTGTTCACGCTTACGGTGGCTTTCAGACCGCATCCATTATTTTCGTCTTCCCCCCTCCTCTATTCCGAACATAGATGGACTCGTCTATCTTAACAAACTGCCAAATCGCTCTCCGTGGTGCTAACGTTTTAAAAAACGCCACTTTTTTCAAAATTTCTTGCTGTGGTTTTCACACCTGAAGATGATTGCTTGTGTTGCAGTCGAAACGTCGTGAGAATTTTATTGTTTTATATTTTTTATTATTTTATTGTTTCCCTTCTACGTGACTTTACCGAAAGAACCAAGAATTTGAATTCCTGCAGTCACGAAAGCTTTAAATCAAAATTTAAGAGTATTCTTGTTTGGAAGAAAATAAAAAATGCCGCTCGAAACTCCTCGGTCGTGTTCCCGCGGTGCTCGACCGCCCCGCGTGGAAGTTGTTAAGATTCGATTGTGGTGAATGTAGCAGGGAAGACGCGGGTCCGAAGGACGACGTGTCAAGAGCGTGGCAACTCCGAGCTGTCCATGACTCGACTGCAATAATCGCCCCAGGCTGGCAGACTCCTTGCCAGCGTGGAGGCCAGACGCTGAGGTCACCTCGTGCTGCGCGACAGGGGGCAGCTGCCAACTTGGGGGGGGGGGGGGGGGTGGGGGGGGGTGGGGGGGTGGTGCCCCCTTTCAAATGTGTTGAGGTGGCGAGGTGCGAGATTTAAGGCGCTCCGAGGCGCCCTGATATGCAAATCAAAACGAATTTATCCACGCACGATGCAGATCTGCGTATCCTGAACGTAGGAAGGAGGATCATCGACGCCTTGTTAGATGTGAGCTTGTGTGGTGGGTGGGCACCACCCATGTCACCTTCGCGAATCTAACCTAGAGAGTATGAAAAGCACCCGGCAGAAATTG